AGGACCAGTGTGGAGGGTTTAGTGGCATCCAGCAGCGTATTCACTGATTGCAACACCCTAGCCTCATGCCCTGTCCAAAGAAACTATGGTGGCCACAAAACTTGTGAAAAACGTGAATGGCCCTATCTAGATCCAGTGTTTGGTTCGTTCTGGGCTACTGTAGAAACATGGTGGTTCAACATGGCAGCCTCTGTAGAAGAGGATCTACTCCCATTGTAGATAAAAGTGGCTCATTCTAAGGTTACAAAAACTCAATAATCCTTCTATTCAGCTGATATACACTAATGAAAACATACCTATGAATATTATATTCCATTTCTGACAATAGATCCTCCTAAATGTTACACACCGGACCTTTAAGGCTGAGCTAAACAGTATTGTTTATATACAGTAATCACGTGTATGATGTGAAAATGGCCCCCAAGTAGCAACGACGCTACCAAGAATAATCGCCTGACTCAGCAGTTGCCCTCAGACCTACAGAGTCTTTTAGCCTCCTCTGACTCATTACTTTGGTTTTCTGGCCTCCACTCAAACCAATCTCATTTCAAGTCCCAGCAGGCAGTTGTTTTCAGGAAAAAAGCTCTGATAAACCCGCTGCACACTACCCACCCAGCACCAAACAGTAGACAGGCCAAGTAAGCAACTAGTTGGTGAATATAGGGGAGCAATTAGCGGCTAAGGAGCCACTTAAATCCCCAATGAGGGTTCTGACCAACCACTGTTTTAATATAAATGATAATCTGCTACAGCATTTTTGTTGAGTTAAATAATGCTTAATTTGGTAGCATACTTAAAAATTACATCTGGCAGGAACTTTTACTAATGTGTAATACGTCATCATACCTTTTAGTTTCTCCCTTATCCATGATGCCCACCAATGGGCATTCTAATTTTATCTTTTTTTATTTTAATTTGTGACTTTCTAAATTTTTTGCAGTAATCCTTTCTGTCACAGCCATGTCTGAACTAGCAGCATCCACTTGCTGACTAGCCTCTTATGTCAAGAGACAAGTGTTCCGGGGCTTGTGGGAAATAGGGTTTGCTAAATGCTAATAACAGAAATAATAAACAATGAAATCTGATCAATTTTTAAAAATGACCACCCTTATCTAGACGTATGGAATAGACCACTGACATACTGTTGAGTAAACTTATGTTTCATGGCTGACTTATTTTCTCATTTGCATTTTCACAAATGTTAATTTTGAATGAGGTTTTGTTACTTCTGGAAGTTCTGACTTTGGCTCTCTTTTCCATATTCCCCTCAACTATTAAAGGTGGGGTCAGTCATTTTGAGGGAAGATAGTTGCCAAAGCGTTGGTATTTGACAACTTTGGAACGAGACTAAGTAATCAGCTATCTGCCCCCACCATTAAAGCACTGACTCGATGTAGGCTCAATCTAGTGCAAACCATGTCTGACTAAATTCAGAACTTAAAAGTTGTAGTATGATGCTTGTTTTGACCTCTGACTACAGGCAGAGACCAGTTTGTAATACATTAAGACAAGCATTGAACCATGACAAACTCATACCGTATCACTGCTGGACAAGAGTTGAAATGTTTGACATTGCTGCAGCAAACCTTATTGGTTCAGTTTTCACTTAATGTGAGTCAATCGATACACGGCATTCCAACCTCTGAAATCTGCATTTTCCCTCCAATTTTTCTCTCGTATTGTTATTTCAGACTGCTGCTCAAGGCTGACTGAGCACATTTAGGATGAAATCTGCCAGGAGAGTGATATTGCAGCTTTCTTCAGAATTGCCAGGCTCTTTTAACAGATTGCTTTTTCGCGGGATCTTAAATGGATATCAGGAAAATGAATCATAGCTTGTTTGCTGCGGTGATGAAATGCAAACAAAAAAGATAGATATGCTGGGACAGATAAGAAAGTGTTGAGAGTGGGCGAACCTCAGTGTCAGGAAATCTTGTTGGTTGGCATCAGCTGAGTAACTGCACACGGTGTAGTCATATTTTACCAACCTGGCTGCTCTGTGTTGCCTTTTTTTAAAGTCTTCCAAAGGCACATAAGAAGTTAAACAACTAGCTTTGTGAGACTTTAGTTCGATGCTATACGCTACCTCTGGGATGCATTAATTAACCTCCTATGTCAGCTTAAAATGTACATGAATTGAGTAGGTATGCACCCTGTATGTACTACATTCCACCCAGTTTGTCCTTCAGTGATTCTTCCCATCTGTCTTTGCCTTTGGCCTCTGTGTGTCCTGTGTGTTTGAGGTTGCCTCCGTCTGTCTGTCTGCGGTCTGTCTGTCTGTCTATCACCCCTGACTTTCCTTGTCTGTCTCACAACAGTCATCCAAGCTATACAGCCTCTCAGCCAGTAGAAGAACGCTGGGCTTGGTGCCAGCCAGCCGGGGCGCCAGTTGGGCAGTCCATCAGTAGCATTAAAGACATGTTATCCACCCGAGTGTATCCGCCTGGCTTAGAGCCCTGATCCCCTGTCCGAGCCCCCCCATGATGCCCCTCGACTCACTCAGGGGCCCTGGTTAAAGTGCACAGAGTCCCCTTCTTGCTTTATCAGCATGGCACCCAGGCATCCAGACCGCTGCTTTAGGTCTCTTAAAACACGTACACAAATAAATGAGGAGGGTGCTGGAAATAACTACTTTCTCATCTCCAGCCAAGCTGCCCTGCTGGTCAGGTCATTGTCTTTAAAGGGACAGGGGACCAGAGAAAGCATGCTGCTGCTGACCTCCATGCAGTTTTTTCTTAAAGAATACAAAGTCAGCAAAGTTCATTGAGGCCTCTTGCAATGTAAAATAGATGAAAGCTTTCGAAGAGGCTTAAAAGGCCTGTTTGTTTCTTGTTATACTTTGCCAGATATTGGACTCTGTGCTTTTTTCACCACAGCTAAAAATATTGCTGTTGCTCTTTTGATTCTGAATATGCAGGATTCGTACTGTGACTTGTCCTCATTCTATCTGCTTTAATATAATGGTCACTGCTTTATGGATCTACTGTTATTACTACTGTTGAACAGTTTGAAGTATCACTCAGGGGACGGATGTGAAGCACAAAGTAGCAGTCAGTAGACTAACCTTGGACACACAAGCTCCATTTCTAGACCTTTAGTGGTCCTGTACCAGAGTGATATTCACACTAAATTGCCATTTTGTTGCCACTCGATTATTCAGTCCGCCTTTGCATTAGCTCGTGTGTGTGTTTGATTTTATTTCTAACTAATCACTAGGGACTAATGTATCCAGCCACTTATGACAGTTTAAGTCAACACTGAGCCTATAAGTTAGCTAGAGTACAGTGACAATATTACAAAGAATGACCTCTGGTTTTCAGAATACATGTAGTCTATGCAAAGACATTTGCTGGTGAGGTGTCCTGATATAGAGAAATATTAGATAAGTTAGAGTTGGGGCGCCCTGGTAGCTCACCTGAAAGAGCTGGTGCCCTATGTACTAAGGCTGTGTCCTTGCTGCTGCAGCCATGGGTTCAAATCTGACCCGTGGACCTTTGCTGCATGCCATCCCCTCTGGCTCCACCTTTCTATCTTCAGCTGTCACTATCCAATAAAGTTAAAAAGCCCCCAATATATTTAATAAAAAGATAAGTTAGAGTCAAAGAGTTCCCTGCTGCGACGTGACGCTGACTGGGATTAGTGGTGGAAAACTGATTGATGGAGGGTTTTCAGTTTCCATCCATGTGGACATAATCGTCACAGTGGTGTCCAGACATTGGCCCAAAAGTAGTGTCCATATGGCAGAAATGATAAAAAAGACACTTCTAGTAGTCTACAACAGACAGACAGGATATCAGTAACAGGCTGGCAACATCTGACAAATGACTGGAAGTGACTTGTTTGCTAGGTTGCTAATGCAAGACAAACCTGCAGCTTGACCACAGCTGTGGGGTGTGAGGATGTCTAGAGGACAGGTATGGACTTCGACTGAAAGATGGGGTAGAGGGAGATGGAGCATGTGTAGCCATGACACATATTCAGGGCAGTGTTTTGTTGCTAGCATGTAAGATTACGTCACCGTTAGGGCCACAGTATCTTCACGTCAAAGAATTTGGGGACGCTTTGAATGGGAGGGTGAGGCGAGGGCATTGCAATTAGCAAATACACCACTAGGTGCCACAATAATCATACGTACTGTTCCTTTAAGTTTTTATTTTAGTAACTCTTTGAATATCATAAACCAGTAGTATATTTGTTGTTAGTCCTTTAAATGATATGAGCTAGTTTGCAAAAGATTAAGGCAAACATCCTAATAACATTATGTCTTCTTTGATCCATTTCACAATTGTGCTAGGACCTAATGCCACACAGTACCAAAATAAGTTCCTCTTTGATTTCAGTCAAAGAAACAAATTTGTCAGGGCAGAATAACTCAAATACTTAAGCAGGGCTATAATGGAAAAGAAGAATTGTCTCCCAAGTCGAATTACGAAAATGTCATCGTCTGTATTTTTAAGCATTTGCGCTCTTAATCCTTCGCCATATTTTTTAGCCTTGTGAACACATCATCCTATTCTTCTCATTCTATACAGTATCACTTTCTCCAATTCTTTTTATAATGAATATGAATTGAATTCTTAATAATAGATCTGACTGCCTGACCCACATTATCTGTAGAAAGATGAGAAGAACCTGTTTGGTTCTTATAGCACTGAAGAGTTTCTCTGGTGTCATTATGGATGGCATCTGAACGAGCTTTGATGAGAGAGTGACTGAAGGTCTGTTGAATCCGTTGAAAATGGATTGATCCAATAGCGCAAAAGTCAAGTACTTCTTTAGAGCTGAAAGTAGTTTCAATCCAAGGAATCATGGTCATCATTCTCCCTTTCTTGATCCTCCAAAACATCTTTCTCTTCCTTTAGGTTCAGCACATTGTTATTTTCCTTCCATCTATATCTTGAGTTGAGTACCTGGATATTAAAATTGGTTGGAATGTGCCATGGGTTTCAGGTGTGGTCTCTTTTGTCGGGTGCTCTAACTGGAATTGTTTCTGTTCACAGCAGTAATCATGGAAGACTAAGCAGAGGGAATGAGAAGGAATACACAAAGGTAAGGCAGTTACCTTCACCATATTGAATGGCTATCTAATCTCTGTTGCTTTTTGATGAGGATGTGACACTTGCAGCATAGTCCACCTTGACAGCTCTCACATGATCCACCAACATGTAGGCGTGCAGCCTTGAAAGTACAGCTTTCATTGATTTTGAATACTGGCTCATATAAACATGTGAAAATCAATGGCTTTCTTACTTCAACTGAACCACCCACACATCTTTCCAATTAGAGGTTGGTTTCACAGAGATACGTAAGACGGGTCCATAGACTTAAACATGTTCTGTGTGATGTGAAGTAGTTGGACAAAAATAAACCCGCATTTTAAGCCTACAGTAAAAAGTTAGCCCTCCTATCGCAGGATATGTCTGAACCAAGAGAAACCTGCTGACAGCTGACGCTCAGTAACACCTGCTGACAATTGACAAAAAATGGGAAAACAGCTCAATTTGTGGTTTGCTAACAATGGTGTAAAGCAAGTAATAATAGGGTACAATTTAAAGAGACAGCAGTAGCCACTTGGAATTTTTATGTTATTGCTTCACTCATTACCAAATGTAACCTACGTAATAAAACATTCTTGTAAATGTTAAATTCTTCCACAAGGCACACATTTTCAGCTGGAGAGGCTGGAACGTAGCAGCTAAAAGCTAGAGCTCATTCAACCATCTTTTTAGTTTGAAAAGTTTGAAATTACCCAAACGTAGTAGCTGATTTATCCTAGATAGTCCAAAATATACCAGAGCTAGAAAGCTTTTTGCAGTAGGTGAAATTCTACTGTATCTTAAGTTTTTTAGATCCCAGCCACAGTCAATTTCTATCTTTGTGAGAACAGCCCAACACATTTCGCTTGTCATTGGTGCGAAATGGCAAAGGCTGGAACTTATCTCTTTTAATCTGCTCTGAAGAGGTAGAAAATGTTCACAATACAAACAAAGCACTGACCTGGTGTGTATGTGGTTGTGTGTGTGGCCCTAAGGTTCTGTACAGTACAAAGATTTCTCACCTCATGCCAATGGTATTTCCTGGGGGAAAGCACTGAAGCAGTGTACAGTCGGGGGGTAATAAGAGTCCACACCCTCTTGGGGAGCAATAAGGATCTAGCATTAGTCCCATTTAAAACATTAAACATCCAACCCAGTGGCTGGATGGAGGCGAGAATTAGAGAACTGGGAGATGGAGGAAAGAAAGAAGTAGAAGACATTAAAGGCAAAAAATGTTTTACTTTATAATACGCTCTGACAGGAGGAAGGTGGATGAAGTTTTCAAGTCCATTACGCTGAGATTTCCACCTGAATAGTTCCCATTCATGTCTCAAGGTTTACTTGTGGCATTATTCCTCTTACAAATGAGAAGTTTAATTCAGAAGCAGAAACTCATCAATGCTCCTTTCAATTCAGTCAGTGGCAACTAAACCACTAAAAACACTCAGTTAAGGTGTAGTGACAGAGAAATGATGAAACAGGACTTCAATCGTAGACCACAGCGTCAAAACGTCTCACTCTCAACTCATCCAATACTGCCGCTTGGTCAGTGGCCTTTCACTTCAAAATATGACCCTGTAGGTATCCCTTAGCATCATTTCTGGACACGCAGGGCTGCATGATCAAGTTAGCAAGAATACATACATCCAGTTGAAGTTTCAGAATAAAGCTTGTGTGGGTATCGTTGTAAAAAGTCACACTTTGGTTAAGTTTAGGCACAAAAACTACTTCTTTAGGTTCTGGCACAAAAACTAAGTGCATAACTTAAGAAAGTTATATAAGTTCATTTACATTTGTAACCTATAAGAAGTCAACTCTGACTTTTGGTTTTGAATGGGACAAGAACAGCGATCTCCTGGGTGAAAGTCTGCTTTTGTTTGAGCCATCCATCCAGCCCACCTTCATATACTGACTTTCTGGCTATTTATACTACCTCTGGTGGGCAAGTCCAAAAATGATGCTTAAGGATGGACCCCTGCAGACCAGAAATGACACTGAGGGCACCTCCAGCATCATATTTTGAAACAGACTGCAAAGCTGACAAAGCAACAGTATTTGATGAGTTGGGAGTGAGACTGGGCTGTAAAGCACTGGACATCCTGCATTGGTATCGAAGGTTTTGCAAATTAGTGGAATAATGGTAATCTGGGGGGAATTATGTTAAATCTAAAATCGCTAATAACTCATAGCAGCAGATTGGGTTAGGAGATGAGTCCAATTTAAGGGCTTGGCTTAGTCCTGTTTATGAAGCACTTTTAGGATTTCACTCTAAAGTTTTTAGTCACTTTCCGTGTAGTCAAAAATGGTGTCTGTTTGCCATCACCACAATCATTTCCCAACACCAAATTGGTTTCTGTGCGTAAACCTAACCACATCTTAACCATAATAGAGGCAAAAAATATAAATTTCTGCTTTTAGGAATCAGGTTCTGCAACAGTGCCAGATCACAAAACTGGAGGTCTTTTTGAAAACTCACCATGAATAAACATACTGCCAATGAACTTATTTTGTTTTAAATCCGGTGAATCCTTGCTGTCTCAATTATCTAGGTGGATGTGATGGATGCATTGTAAACTTTTCTTTTGCCGTTTTTCTGGTCCTTGTCTGTCTCCCTTCACCAAGACCATATTCAAGAGAGAACATTGCCAACTTGCCATGAAGAAAATAGATAATAGAGACAATAGTGATGTTTCACATTTTGATGCGCACAAGTATCACATTCGAAAAGTTTGATGGAAACAACAAAATGCTTGAGGTGATTTTTGCCTTTTAAGAAAAATAATGAATGCGCTTAATGGCTTTAATTAATGCAGTTTTTTGGAACAAGTTCTGAACATTTAACTTAGGTCAGCCATGATCCCTCCACGCAGATCTGATGGAACCTTCCTGACATTAATGCATGAAACAAGCAGAAATGTCATATTTCCATCCTGTTTTTCAACATTGTTTTTACCGTTTGAGGTCAGACTGGCGCTCTTTTAATTACATAATCTTTTTGCGCCCACTTCTTCTGGTTTTCAGACTGGACAACTGCCGCCACCTACGGCTTATCTCGATTAACCAACTCCTAATGATCTCATAACGGTAGTGGATGGAAACAAGCATTCAGTCGCATTTTCTTTCACCAATTTACTCGAAATTCGGTTTAAATTTGTGATAAAGTTAGATAGAAACTGTTATATATTCTTAATTGCTTTTTGATCACCACTGTTTTCATAGCCTTGCATGTTTTGTCACATAGTCCCTTACAGCTAGCCTTTTTCAGTTCATCAATATCATTCACACTTGCCATCAACGTTGTGTTAACCTTTACCATCATTCATTTTACAGCCAATGGTTCTCAAGTGCTCAACTGTATTGAGTAGATGGCTACTAAATTTTTTTGCCAAACACCTCTCAGTGGTGCTAGAGTGCTGCAGCAGAAGAAATCATTGTTCTTCTCGAGGGCTTAAAGAGCTGGAGGAAGACAGTTCTGTTCCCCCTCCTCCTTCCTGTCTCTGCCTTCTTCCCTCACCCGTTATCATCTGTCTATGAAATAAAGTGCATCACAATGTTCCCATATGGCCAAATGCACCAGAGAACTCAAGTACTTTGCATGATAAATGATTCACAGTTGGAGAACAAGTACAGCTGTAGAATGCTCTCCGGTGATGAATTGGGTTTCTATTATAAAGGGCTGATATCGACCTTTTATGGAAAAGTGTGTATCATCCAGTCAGTGCTGTCCACTTTTAAAATGATAGGTATGATGCAGCTTTATTGATTACGTATTTATTGTAGAATTGATTCCTATTTGTCTATAGGATCAGAATGATGCATTGCATTTAGTCTGTTCGATTGAACTGATGCATCATTTGACCGGACTCCCCTGGTCCACTCATAAACTGGACATCAGCACTGAGAGCCCACTTTGCTGACAACTCTGGTCAGCCAGCTCTATGTAGATGCAATACTGAAAAAGCAGCTTGTGTAGAGAGGTCGGCTGCCCAGTCCTCTCATTTTACAGCGTGTTTGCCCATGGAGAAAATGGCAGGCCACAGCTATAGAAGAACAAGGGTTTTGTTTCATTAAATGAAAACTGTCTATCCAATACTAATAAGTTCTACAATGAAAACAACATCTTGTTATTGTGGGTTTGACAACATTTCAAAGGAACCTCTCCAGCCAAGATACAGCCAGTGTGCAGGAATGTACTTAAAGTGGCAATCCTTAAGCTTTCAGTCCTGGTTGATTTAGTGACACCTGAAGTTACTGGTGGTGACAGTAACTGTGCTTTTATATTTATGTTGAATGTACCAGAATTCTCACGGCAGCAACACAAACTATTGTCGTTTTAATGAAGAAGTCAGGCAATAATTGGCCTTTTTCCATCATTCTGTGAGCAAGCCTGATCTGATTTCATGCTGCACACGGCATGAGTCTGTTAACAGCGGGACACAGTGAAAGGAGTTGGTTACCTTGCTGAGAAGATGGAGGTGTGCAGCCTGTCGCCTGCAGCTCTTCCTCTAACAGCTCACTGTAGCTGCTCCTTCTTGTTCCATTACTCACTGCAATATTTCCAACTGATCCACTGTTGAAAAATGGCCAAAATTACCTTGTTTTATAGAGGCCTTTTTTAAGAACAACAACAGCCAGTGCTAATCTCACTGACAACACATTTCAATTTCTGTGACTACTTCATAATAAAAGTCAACTCACCTTTCGCAAGGTAAATGCTTTTAATGTGAAGCTGCAGCAGTAGGATTGTTCGGTTTGCATTAGCAGTAACTTAATACTGCATTTCTTTTGTGAATGTCATCACAGACACCCAGTTAGGAATATTGCAAATATAATCCATAAATATTGCAATACTTTCATCAGTGGGTAATAGGCTCAATCACCATTGTGTTACCTCGTTCAACAATTGACGATGACGAAACAGACATTTATTTAAATGAAATTTTGGACAGTGCCACTTTAAGTAGTAGTCACAGCCGCTAAAACCAATTCACTAGCGAGGGCCACACCACAACAGTATTTCATTTAAAAGTTAAATGGAAATCCAGGATGTTTTGATGCTAAGGACAGATGAATTGATGTAGATGTGGAGGGGAGAAGGTGGAAGAAGAATACCATCTGTTAGGTCGGTCTGGGAGGATGTGCTGAAGGCCGGGCAGAGGGAGACTCAATGTGGGGGTTCCGTCTCAGGTGTGTTTCCACCCGAGCTGCTTATAGGCCCCCAGACAGTACCTAGAATGAGATGTGGGAGAGGTATGCACCGGATTGAATAGGAAGGGAGGAGGGAATGGAGGAATGTGGGTAGTGATGAGCAGAGGGAGGGCATAGGTTAGGAATCAGGTATAGTGAATGGATGAAAAGTAGGGAATGGGTGGTTTGAGATAACTGAGACAAACATGGCCAGAAGGGATTTGAATCTTATTCTTATTCAAGCCTATTGGCAGACAAGAACACCAATATCACACGATTCTGCAGACACGTTTAAAGGGGTTTTCAGGGTTTACATTCAATGACACACCCAATGTTTTTATAAAGTACAGTGGCAAAGTTAGTGAAATTATCACTTTCCACATGGCAAATTGTTGTGGTTAGGGCTGAAAGTGGTTATGGTCAAATAAACTATGGCGAAGGTATTGTTAGGGTTAGGAAAAGATGTGGTTACTGTACACAAACTGCGGTCTAATGCATTCAAGGCCCCCAATTTCCCCCATTCTCAGTTACTGCTATGAAGGGCACATTTCTTCCTGGATTGCAACTGAAAGTCAGTGCTGGATGAAAATGTGGATGTACTTTTTAGAGATACTTATTAATACAAAACAACTATTGATATTGCTGAAATCTAAGAAACTGGCAACTTTGAAAAAAAAAATCTGTCCAGTGGGGTGAGATTCCTGATTAGTCAGGAGGTCAGACAGGTTGTAAACAATACGACCGTTTGGGCTAAACCTCCACATTCAGAGTCACTGAATCTTTAATAACCCATTGCATTACTATCACAAATTTGTTAGGTCTTTTTGCTCTGTGCTCCAATAACAGTCGATCTTAAGTTAGCTAATGTTAGCAAAATGTTAGCTAATGAGCTAACTAACAACAAATGTAAATTAGGTAGCGTCTTGCTAACATTAGCTTTCACATGTAAGTATCTAGCTAACAATTAAGATAGATTAGCTAGCTAGTTAGCTCACTTAAGATGTGACTATATGTCGCTTTTATCTTTTAACCATCTTCAAAATGTGGTTGTCTTTTCAACAGAGATTAGCCTAGCACATAGCATATCTCAGTACAGGAAATGAGAAAGTCGACTGAGGTTCTGACCGAGGCTTGCTCAACTGTTATTGGAGCACAGAGGATAAGGGGCGGGGCTTAGGAAGGGTCAATTTGGTTTGTAGATGGATGTTTTACCATTAGCCTTTTGGTTTTGAAGCTATATTATTGTCTGACTGCTCATGTTTCTTGCCCCTTGTAGCTATTTTTAGTTCGCCATGTTGCAAGATCTCAGAATGAAACTAAAACCATTGCTTATTTCTTTAAAGAAGGCATTTCCTGGCATTATTCAGAATAAATATATTCATGTATACTGTATGTAGATCATCAGATAATGCTGTAAGATTTGAAAAACTTTCCCAGGGAATCTTTGCATTACTAACTGCATTGTTCCTCCTTATTCACTTCCCCTCCTTGCCTGCCTCCTCCCCTCTTCTAGTCTCCACTGCCTCTTTTACAATTCCCTCTGTCCTCCTCCTCCCTTCCTCTGCCTCCCTGCTGTACCTCACTTACAGTTTGCCATCCTCTTTCAATCTCTTTCGCCCTTTCTCTCCATTTCTGGCTTCTGTTCCATTTAGAAGGCATCCCCATTTCCCCATTCCTTTTATCTCCCTATACTCATTTTTCTATAAGTGATGCAGCCTCCTGCTCTGCCTGCATCTGGAGCCGCTGCTGAGCCATCTTCTAAAATTCCTGGCATGTTTCTTCTCTGGGCCAGGCATCCTCCGGCTGGCTGTCTCCACTCAGGATTCAGCAGCATAAATTACACTGTGTCCTCACACAACCTATGCGCATAGTTAAATTCTAAGCATATTCTCTGTATATGCTTTGAAGTTAAATTAGCCAATATTTGTCCATGCTGAACACAAGGAGCAGTTGTGTTTCATGATATGCCAGCTTTATTTGTCTTAAGTGTATATTTATTAAAGGCTGCGAAGACTGATAGCAGGAGTAATACCAGCACTAAATCATATATTTAAACATCATAGACTTTCGCTGGATGATGGTGCCTTCTTAAAATCCATTAGTGCCATTGCCAATGAATGAGTTCTGGAAATCATAATTGCAAACACAAGGTCTAAGAGGTTTTGGCAGACATTCCACCAATAATAACAAAATGCATTTTTATTAACAATAAACTGGCTAAATCCTTGTCAGGAATGATTTAAACTTTAAAACATCCCCACCATGCAATATTCTATACAAGGACTGTACAGTAACTGTGCTGTTTCCTTTTATCTTCCTCTTCCACTGAGCCATGTGGATGTGTACCATTCTTGCATGTGTTTCTGAACAAGCCGACAGCATGCTGAGTTCATTACGACATAAGTAGCCATCCATGTGTGTTTTTTTCCCCTATCCTTCCCCTTTTATTTAGTGAAGGCCACCCCTTTCCCTGTAAAGACAGCCCCCTAACACATCCTGTGGCCTTCTGCCATTCAGATATACAGGGAGGGCTTCCTGGCAAGACTTAATTCAAATCTCCCACTGTACTGAGCTGTACTGCAGTTTGATTAAAGCAGACCTGATTTAGATACACTAAGGAGGCCATTCACAGAGACGGCGCTCATTATGAGGGTGTTTACAATTAATAATGCACCATTAACAGTGAAGTTGTGATTTAACAACTTCAGTGATAATATCTTCACATGGAGAGGTATTTGTTGCATGCCAGAAATCTTGTGATAGGCTGTGTAATGCAGACAGTGAGCAACACTTCCCTGTTCTTTTGGGATTACAGGTCATCAAGAAAAATAGGCAACACACAGACTTATTGAGCAGTCCATCTTTGTGACATTCCCCCACCTCTGCTTTTTCCTCAGGCTTCTGTCTGTTAATAAAAGGTGTACCATGAAGGCAAGTTTAGCACACAGTCAGAGAACTAGACTAAACATAACGTGAATAAAGCTTTAATACACTAACTTGTCCATGAACATGTTTCTACCTGAGTCACATCAGATATATTTTCATCAGCAATGGTGGTTGTTTAACAATGAAGACAACAACTCCCATGATCCCACAGGGAATTAAGTGTGTAATGTGTATCAAGGTGGAAAATAAGAGGTTAAGATGGTGGATAGGTGTGTATCAAGTCTGACTTGCTGCAGAAGTTCTCGCCTTGCTAAAAACCAGCAACTGATAATAATAAATAAGTAATCTGAAATTTTACTGTTCCTGCTAAAAGTGTTTTCGTTTCCTAATCATAGCCATACTTTTACTATTGCTTATTTGTAATTTCTCGCTAGCCTTAGCCATACCATTGTTGTCATGCAGATGTTGCTGGAAGCGAAAATTTAAAAAGCACATTGGCAAAAACATTGTCATTGAACTGGGGTTTTGCAGAATCGTCCAATATCAACATTCTTGTCTGCCAATCGGTTTGAATATTTGCACAACTCTGAGTGGGGATGACAGGGAAAGACAAAAGGCCATCAGACACGCTGATAGCCCCAGCATCATTCACAGTTCCTCTGATGATGGCAGACAACCTTAGCTTGGTTCCATCAGCTTTGGCAAACCTTGCAGCGTGTATAACTTAAAGTACAGTCCTGAGAATCCATGGAAACAGGCAGGAATTGCCCCAGACATCCAAAAACATACCCACAGAACAGGGGTCACTGTCTTCTGCAGTGGAAAGAGCTTCAAGGCATTCATCTTGATCATTTTGTGGGACGACTGCGTGCAAGGATTGCCTCCTTTTCTGTAAGGCTCGTCTGCGGTGTACTTTATTCTGGCCTTGAGATAATCCTGATCTCTCCTTTCTGACAGACATTTCTCTTTTGTGTTTCTCTCTCTGGGCCAATGCCAGACTCCCTTGCTGCTGGAAATTGTTGTCAGCAAACTTGTAGTGCAAATGTCACATTGTACTTTCTGATGCCACTGATTGTTGATGCTTTTTTTCTATTTTCTACTGTGAGATGCATTTAAACTGCTATTACAATCTGGGGTTCAGCAGTAAATCAGCAGGCCTTTGAACTCATTTTAGGCGCTGAAGCTATAAACGAATTTCATCTTAAAACATAAGGTTGAACAAAGGCATTGATTTTCTCTCTTGTATTCATCTCACAACTCTGCTGCTGCAGCAACAGCAGTAGCGACACCCAGACAGTGCCTGACAAATGCATGATGGGTAGTGCTGTGTGAGTGTTGGGTTGGAGTGTGTGTGTGTGTGTGTGTGTGTGTGGGGGGGGGGGCGGCAGAAAAATCAACTGACAGAGCAACGAATGGCAGGCAGCCAGGTTGTCAGCTCGCAGTGGCTGTCCTTCATGGGGGACTGCTAAATGAAAATGACAGAAAGACAGGAGAGAAGGGGGAAGAGGGAAAGACAGAGAGAACAGACAGAGGGCAGGATTACTTCCAGTGTTGGGCAAGTTACTGAAAAGTAGTATTAAATTACAGTTACTAGTTACTTCTCTCAAAAGTAATTACATTTCTTTACCAATTACTGCATGTAAAAGTTATCAGTTACTAAGGAACGTCATTTTTGTATTACTTTCTCTGCTTCAGTTCTCTTATTATTGCACGCAGCTGTGAGTTATATTATTTGTGACTGCGTGATCAAATTTATCCGACCACCAGAGGGCAGCAACAACTTACATTCCTACCGTAAAGTCGGGTGACGTTAGATCATAAACCGTAAAATCAAGGGGATGGATTCGCTGCGTTTGTCTGCTGTCAGCAGGTTTCTACTATTTTGGGGTAAGCGCAAGCCCATTTAAATTTCAGCAATTGTAATTGCATTATTTATTTTGAAAACGTAATTAGTTACATTACCAGTTACCGCCAAAAGCAGTGGAATTGCAGTAATGCGTTATAACTTACTTGAAGTACCCCAAATTCTCCAAAAATTATTATTTTAGGTTTCAAGTTACACAAGTCACATGACTTGCAGTATCACTTACATCATGATATTTAGGTAACGTAATATAGTTATTTTAAAGGAACAAAAGCTACTAGGGGGCGCATGGATAGCTCAACTAGCAGAGCTGGCGCCTCGTGTACCAATGTACCAGGTTTCGAATCCGTGCTGTGTGTCATTTCGCCCCCCTTCCCTCTTCATCTGTCACTATCAATTCAATCCGAAATGTCTCACAGCACATCTGATGTGGTGTGCACATTTAAACGCAGGATCCAGAAATCTGTTTCAACAATTCATTTCATTCAGTGTGTAGGTTATGGTTCAAACAGGTGGTTATATCTGTACAAAAGGAATATTAAAAGAAAATGTGACAAATCTGAATAGTTATAAACAAACAAACAAACAATACTACTGGCACTGACAACCAGTGTACTTAAAGCTACATCATATCATCAGTTACTTTCAGGGTAACATACAATAACTTGTAACTCCACTTAGCTGGAGCTGTTCACCTACTGTAGCACACAAAAGCCTTTCACTGAATGAGTAATCAAGATGCTTTATAAAGTCTAATTAAACAGTCTGTGTTGGCACATCAAGGCTAAATTAGTAACAACATGTTGATTGCCTTTGCCTTCAGAAACTGCTGTTAGTGGCAATTATAACAATTAGCATTTATTTGTGCAATTGGACTTACTGTAAGAATACTATACATGCAGGACCTGGGATAACTATCAGCAGCTTGACAAGGAGCCAGTAGTAAAGGTGCAGGGGTCAAAGACTGTGGTTTCAGACAAAAGGTGCATCATTAGAAGGCACTGCATACCGTTTTCTGTGGGGTGATTATTAATGAAAGAAGTGCTGTGTGTAAGGAACAACTGGAGGAAACTAAATATGGTGAATGGAGAGGAGGTCAGAAGGAGTCCAGCAGTGGCTGCAGGGGAAACACACGGGCCATGGCTCAAACACACACAAATTCATTACCTGTACACAGCTATTATTTTATTTCAAACCGGTTTTGCCTACTAAATTGCTTACTTTTCTACTTACTGTAAGTTATTTAAAAATGCTTTATTAGGAATAACCCCTTGAGATGAGCCACCTCTTTTAAAGTACACAACTAAACAAAAAATCTAATTTATATTTGACAAAGATAACAGCATACAGTTAAACCAAATATGACAAAACCAAACGTACTGAGACAAAACAAAAACAACAAAAACAAAAAGTAAATATCAAGACAAGATCTCGTCTCAGTCCATTAACCCATTAATGTCCACAGTGAAACAGCAGCGAAAGTATTTCTTAACAACAATACTCCTAACAATAGGTTAGGAATTTCAGATCTTCACAACTTGTGATTCACACATATTCTGGATTGTTACAATAAAGAAAAATGATAATCCGTTGCTCTTTCTTGCTCCAGTATGGCCATTGTGCAGACCTTAGAGACTTTTTAGAATATATTCCTATGGGATAAAATGAGTAACCCGTAGTGACTAACCACTAAATATAGTATTATACAGAATTGGCTGAACCTAAAAATGTATTAGGCATTATATCGAAAGCTTGGTACCATTGGAGTGAGAACAACTTCAGATTCAATGTGTGAACCACTGTAAATCTAATATTTAACACGTGAGAGGAATGTTAAACTTTTTTTGCATTTTTAAAGAAAATCAAATTTGCCAATCAGTTGCCAATCTGTGGGGCTTTTCCTTTACGCTCTAAATATAATCATTAGTCATTAATGGGTGAATGAATGAACAAATTAATTACCTCTGTTGTTTAACTGGCTTCAAAGGCTTACAGCCAACACTGTTTTCATTGATGCTAATTGCAACCTAACATGAAAGAGTAAATAAACATTACCTCACATCTTGCTTTTGCTGACCTCCAGTGGTTGAAGTGTATGTAGACGTATACTTGGGGAGTGGTCAGTGTGGGTGTGGTTACAGGTACGTGGCCCAACAGTGACAGCAGCTGTGGTCAGATGAATTTTGAAGGTCAGAGGAACAATGCTTTTGTGTTAGTAAACTCAAGACGACAAAAATAAATTAATAAATATTAATGATTTTATTTATTTTTTAAACCTTGATCAATTAAACTGTACGCAGTGTTACTGAAACAATATTGTGTGAGTCACAATTTGATTTGATTGGAACAGAGTTTTGGCATTATTTGGAAAAATGCACCCCATGCAGGTTTTAATGGAGGCGAGTGGAGTCCAGCTGCAGCAGGAAAAGGGAGAACAGCCACTCAAAAGTAGCAGATCTGAGACCAGTGGCAGGGTCAGACCGTGACCTGCAGGGATTGCACTGCAGCGACCATTTCGTACTGCAGAATGCACTGGTACGCTACATTCAGGATCACAGTCAATTTCACTGCCTCCCAGAATACCTCAAGCTGCTTCCAAAGTTAATTTAAAGTCCTCCCGTCTGATTGGACAGTTGTGAAAATTCTGCCTGGAATCTGATTGGTTCCATGCAGCTGGGTGCCTCAAAAACTGGTCCCCATGAGTCTGCTCACAGGCAGATTTGTCCGAAGGGCTGTAGGTTTTTGCTGGCCAATCACAGTTTAAAACCCACAACAAAAGCATTAAAAAAACATCTGTTGCTGTGAGCCATCAGTTTGCAATTCAGATACTATACAGATGCTAATACTGGAATGTAATGGGCTGAGTGTGAATAAAACAAGTCGTAGCTACTGTTTTCTCACAGTGTTTTCATCTGCAAGGCTGCAGCTGAAATAACTCATTATTAGGCTCCTTTCAACAGTTTGCTATTTTATAGTATATGATGTTATGTTATATAGCCTTTTAATTAAATATCCAACATTACCCATTCAGTGGTCCATCTCTAAAACCTTTTTTAAAACATGGATTTGGATGTTTCATCCCAGTTTCAATTAACAAATCGGGTGTTTCAGCCTGCCTTGAGCTGCTAACCAATGGTGTGTTTGGCAGAGTTTTCATATAAAATTATGGTGAAAAGGCTTTCTTCCATTCTGACTAGATTCATATTCAAAAGGGAACCCTTGAATCTGTTTAGACATGTTTCAGTGATACAAATTCTTTTGTAAATCAACGGGAAAAGGAGTCTATTCAGCTTTTCAGTTTATTGTGACCTTCCCAATCCCATCAATATCTTGTGTCTAACAAAATGTTCATGCCACGTTCAATGTGGTATGTTCACTCGCTCAGCCCGTCAGTTAGACTGTGATGAAGACACAGGAGTGTTGAAAACGTTTCACAATTAAAGGCAGCAAATCAATCAGTGTGCTCCGGTCCCTTTTCCTGCTCGCTGTCCTCGAACTGAGAAGCACCCGATTGAGCGGCACATTGCAGGAACACGCACAGATAACCCTTTCAAGAGTTTGCGTGCATGTTCATTAACGCTCATGCTACAATTCCCCTTCAGTGTAAAAGTTATCAATTGAGCAGTTACGGACTAGACCGAAAAAGTATTCCGATATTAAAATTTAATTTTTCCTAATCAGGTTGTAACCTGAACCATGTTAGATGTTACATCAGGGATTAATTCATTAAGTTTTATGCTCCTTGACTGTACATGATGATTTCAAAACATTGTATTTTTGTTCTCCTGTTAGTTAATTTGGTTGTCCAGATTCAGTAAAAAAACACATTGAAAAAATTGGTGGATGTGGCTAACATCTGTTTCTGTCTTTACCTATAGTTTAATAGTGGTGCATTCTTGTAGAACAGCAAACCCCTACAGCACAGGTGTTACACTGTCTGCTTACTAAATGTGAATCCAATAAATAATAAGAGTCATTTGTTCTTTGCCAAAGTTTCTTAAAATCAAAAGATACAAAACTGATATCAAAACTGAAAAATGTAGTGCTTAGAAATGATCTGTAACTAGTCTCAGTTCAATGCTGCTGTCAGCATTATAATTATTTTTATTTCCTGTTTAATGTCCTTTTTTTTTGGGAATCCATTGTGGAAGAGGTCAAATTTAAAATGGAGCTATCCAGTTTAGGCCATGAAAGCCTTGATCCCTGTTTCAAGCAGGGAACCAACGTTGAGCTCTGTGTTGCAAAAAATCACAATTTTCCACCTCCAAAGCTCCCTGAGCCCCGCAGCTCCTTTGATCATCATAATAATCGAAGACAATGTAATTTACAAGCATATTTGTCATATTTTCTACATGCTATAAAAAGACTTCCTCGAGGCTGGAGCGGCTGATGCTACCTGACAGGCAGCCGAAATGAAGACTGGTGAGGGCTCAGTTCAGCAGGAGCTTTTATTTTCATAATAAATGTACTACTTCTTTTGAGAATTAAAACAAAATTCAAACATTATAATCTCATTAGGAGCAGAGATTAAAGTTGTACAATATAATCACATGTATCTGTGTACAAAAATTTCATTGACTCTACACATGCCCCATTAAATATTTCAGATTGTATTATAACAATTAGCGCTTATTGTTCTTATCGTGCACCTCAGAAGGTGTTATCTGAGCTTCTTTCCGGCTCTCTGCTCTGCACAGCAGGCTTTGATTTTGCTCCTTTGCTTTCACTAAGCTTATCTGCAACTGGCACAAAGTGAGCCATTGCTACAACGCCGTCCAATCAGCTGCAAACACACACTCTCCACTTCCTGGTCTTTATCGACCTGTGACATCTGATTGGACTGAGAGGAGCACGAATGCCCCCTTCCTCTCATCCACGCCCTGTCGTCCTTTTCTGAAATGGCTGACACGTTAAGGTTTATTATTCGTATCTTTGTGTGTGTTTGTTTGGTAATTTCTTCTCCTGAATGGCAGAGCAAATAAGATAAAACTTAAATGATTCCCCCTGGAGGGATGGGGTCATTACGACGGGAAGATAAAAAAAAGGATGCAGCACAGAAAATAAAAAACTTCCAGGAGAAGGTGAAATTACTAAAATGGAAACCATAAAAAATGAGAGAAATAGGGCCAATACCATTATCAAGATGTGTCTCTCAGACAGACAGGCAGACAGGACAGACAGTAGACAGCGGCGGTAATGGCACTCGGCTTTCAGCGGCAGCACCAGCTGTGCCCGATCCAAATGGGCACCGACAGCGATTCAGGCCAAGCAGGGTCAGATGAGGACACAAACACAGAGGGGGAGGGGGGAGGAGGGCGGAGGGGTTGGGTGGCGGGGCGGGCAGAGAGATGGAGAGAGGAGGAAGAAAGGCGAGGAAGGCAAAAGGGATTGTGGGGAAGGGGGGAGGGAGAGGAGAGAGCATTTGGTAAGATGAAGGAAACAAAAGGACAGCAAGAAAGGCAAACAAAAGGCTGGGCGGCAGGGTTAGACCGATGAATCTGTTTCTTGATATCTGAGGCCAATAATGACTTTGTGGTGAACACAGATGTCGTGAAATTGTCACCCACCTCCAATATGACTGATCTGATGCAGATTGTATGACATTATATCTGACTATATATGTTTTGCATTCTGTGTTTCGGTGAAATGGTTCTGGTTTGAGTTACCTGGATTTCGGTGCCTTATTTTGAAGAGCAAGTTTTTCTACAAAACTGTTTTTTTATTCAGCAAAAGAAGCTACCGTTCTCTGATGTTGACTCTAAATTTCCACTCCTCATGATCTGCGTCCAATGCCAATGTTCAGTGCCAGTTCAGGAAGTAGTGGGAACTTAATACAGCGGTCCAAAGAGCAAAGGTGTGAAGGTTGGGGTTGTGGATAGACGTGTAGCACATCTCACTGTAAGGCAGGAGTCTGTGTGTTCTTTCACAGACCTAGTCCTGGGTACTGAACTTTGATGCTTTTATGGCACTGACTGAATTGCTTCGATACTACAGAGTATCGAAAATGTCTTGTCATTCCGTACCAAATGCATAGTTCAAACCGTACTCCAGCCTTAACCAAATGTTTCAGTTTCACCCTAGCCACACTTTAACTACAGTATATTTGCCATAACCAAAGTCCTTCCCTAACCGTAACCATACTTAACAGATATGATAGAAAGCAAGAATGTAAAAAATCTTGGCAAAAATGATGTTCCTAAGTAGGTAGGGCTCTACTGGTTCCGGGGTCCTTGCTTTCTACAAAGAGGAAACAACGATGTGATTAAGGTTAGGGACAGATCTTAGTTGTGGCCCAAAAAAAGCTATGATTAAAGTGTGATCGTAAGGTTGTGATTACCATCAATGAATATGAATGTTAACTACAGGTCTGCCAATCTCTAAGTTCCTGCATGTAAGTCTACACACTCTGCACCCACCCATACGAACGGGGCGCACAACTTCATGCTGAATGCATAAATTGTGAGGTGCGTAATTGTCCAACATAAGTGCTATTCTTAGGGGTATTGGGCTGCTTTTTCCACTTGGCTGAAAATATTTTTGTGAAGGTAGCATGAATTTTGTACTTGCAGTACATTTTTATTGCCATGACACTGGTCAGCTTCTAAGCAACTGAATATATAGTCTATGTGGGTAGGAGGGAGGCGGAAGTTTCCTCGTAATCACATCTCAATAAAATAAAACCCATTCCTTATTAGTTGCATCTTGGATGAATCTTTATCTACCAGGAGGACTGACTCATTCCACTTTCTATCTTCGCTTCCCATCATGTCTGCCTGCAGCTCCGAATTCAATCCTCTTAGCTTTGTCTTTTCCCAGCACAACAGAAAGATTCCCAAGGCCGGAGCCAAACGAGATCACAGATAAACGTTAAAACCCTTATGAGGAAAACACTGTCAGAGGGGAGACTACCAGTGCAACAGATGCTGATTAGTGGCCTTTGCAGAGGGGTCTTTTCTTTAGTAGTCGATTGCCAAAGAATAAATTAGTGACCGTGCAATAAATTAGTGACTGTGCAGTACAAGAATGTTAAGGAGCTTGGCATCCCAACCAAGATTAGGTAAACAATTGATAAGTTAATTCTGTGGTGGTCCTCAGCAGGTGCTGCTCTGATTTTATGACTTAGTTCTATGATCCGCCATTAATAAATATTTGAGTGATCTTTTCCTAGCGGTCGTAGAATCCTGACAATACTATACAGTTCTGGTTTTTGATTTTCAATCTTTTCTATCCCTACTCTAAAAATGTGGTTGTCTAAAGCTGCTCTCTTCACCTCTGCGGGTCCTTGACAGGCTTCCATCAATACATACGTTCAACCGAGGACATTCAATGCACCCGAAAAATAAATTGTGATGTATTGTAATTGAATTTTCTTACCTTAACCTGCGTTGTCTATTTCCAAAACAGATTTGTGGTCTATCGAGGCTACTGAGGTGGTGAAATTGGTCTCTTTGCTCCCTGTGTCATGGGAGTTTTGTTGAATGGCAGGGAAAAATGATAAATAAATGAGTGTAATGTTCCTCAAACCTTGCTTCTTTAGAAGCTAACACAAAAGCTGACAATGACCACCGATGGTCTAGGTCGTGCAAAAGAATTCAGAATCAAATTGTTGCAGCTGTGTCGGAAATATCTTGAAGTAACGTCATAGTGCCTACGTTTGACCAATTATACATGATAAAAATAAGGAAAAGTATTTGGGAAGAATGAGAAAAACAAACCAAACAATATCCAGGTGCAGAAATACATTGCTATTTGTGCCCCCGATATATGGGATCTGGGACTTTACTTTTGTTCTACTTGGGGGTCCGCAACATGAAGATATTTGAGACGCTCAAATCTAAAACTTCAAAAAACAGCTGAGGCCGACTGTGGCTCTGTTCTCCAATGTGAGAGCGATGACGGTATTGGTCGGTTGCGGTGCCGCCATTTTATGTCAAATGGACTCTGGGGAAGATTAGGAGATACTTTTGTCAGACAGGCCGTGGCTGAATAGAGAGAAAGAAAGGGGAAATTTAGAGAGTTTGAGAAAGAAAGAGGCAGAGCAAATGAAACTGGACGATGAAGAGCCATGGGGAGACCGAGTGAAAGAAAAGGGGCTGAAGAGGGAGGGAGAGGTAAGCGATAGAGAGAAGGCCAAATGTGTCTGGGAAAGTTTTGGAGCTGAGGTGCATTGTGGGAGAGCAGACAGTGTGTCTGGGGGGTCTGAGGTGTGGATTAATGCCAGCGATTGGAGGAGGGCTGCCGCAGTTGTGCGTGAGCAGAATATCAGACGGAGGGAGAAGAGAGGAGAGAAGATGGAAGGGGTACAGACACAGAATTTTGGAAAGGGGTGATATTCTACGCCTGAAGACACTAAAGACAAGCCGCTCACGCTGCATGAAAGAAAGTGCCAGTAAACTTCAACTAAAATGTAAAACAGCACACTTATAGAGTCCTCATTTACATGCAGTTTAGTTTATAAGGAGCTGTTTAAATTAAAAGTTGGATGAGGATTAATCCTGAGGTCTTAAAGTGGGAGCACAAGGAGGATCATTCTATAATGTTTCAACTCATTTAAAGTAATGTGTAGTCAGCCTGCAGAGAGCTGCTACAGTCACACCAAGCAGTGGTTACAGTCCAAGATACTAAAGTCTGGGTTCATCATGTGCATTTGAGGCAGAACCCGTAATCCATGATCTATGAAATGGCACCATACAACTTTCATTTCTGTATGAGAAGCAATTTGAAGGGATTACAAGGACTGCAGCAAACACATCCCATGAACCCCGACTCAGGCTAAAGGCTTGACACAGTAAAATTTCATTACAGTGAGATTATTGTGGATCTATTTTGAGTTTAAGGCATTTATTTGTTTTTTTTTTTGTCCCTGAAGGAAACTTTATGCTAGTTATCTGTGTGCTAGAGGTCGTACCGGAGTCAGCATGTGAAGGACAGTGAAGGATGGAGATCATAAGAACAGAAAAAACAGACTTCACTTTTTGCCTCTCATTCAGAGCCCACAACAAGTCAATCAGTAGTTTGGTACACACATATTTGCTGTTTAATTGGATTGCTGAGAGACTAGAGGCAACAGTTTGTAAACTTTTTAAGGAAAGGTTTACCCAGGAATTAAGATTTTGTGACAACTCACCAAAGGTGTAGTACTGTCAGAGCGCACTCACATTTTTTCTCCATGTGAGGAAACAGAATATCTGCAGTTCACATAATCACATAATAAATTCATATACATACATTTTTTAAGTGCTTGGAAATCCAATTATCGCTTAAGTGTATGTAATGCAAGAGAGCCACTAAAACAAATGTAATGGTCAAAGTTGCCTTTAAGGTGTTGATTGATTCATGACATTAGCTCATGCATTGAGTAACATGCAAGAAAAACCCTAACCCTAACCCTACTTTTTTATGCAACCATAACGGTGGTTTTGAGAATTGAAACAATATCACAAAACAAAATATCGCGATACGATATTCTCCAATATTTTCTTAGAATCCTAATTGTCAAAGCCGGTATTGTTAGTTTAATACGTTAAATATTTGTAAAGCTCACAGACAGACCTAAAGGGTGCCCAATAGCTTTGATTTGTGGAAAAAATAAAAACAACGAAATACGAAGACACAAGGTTTCCGCCCGTCAGCGACAATTTGTGATTCATTTGCAAAGAAATATTATAAAGCCAGCCTGTTAAACTTGGTCAGCTTGCTGCAGCCACAATGCCTGCAGGAAATCAGAAACAGGCTTATTGCCAAGTGGGTTTTCATATACAAGGAATTTGCCTTTTTGTATTGGTGCATAACAATAAACATAGTACGAGAAAAATAAAGATGAAAGAAGTACTTCAAGTCAAGAAGGAAAATAGTAAATTGACAGTAGTGGAAACATTTTATATTAAAATGTCATGTGCATACATCACAAGTGTGCACTACACCTCTATAGAAGTTTGTATGGTAGCATGTTAGCTATCAAATGTTGGCTCTTCCATTTCTAAAAATGACTAAAAAAGAAAAAAAGGACACTTGGTTTTGTGTCTTAAACACATCCCAAGTGTTTGACAAATGATTGCAGTGTATATCCAAAAGGCAAATTATCACTTAGACTTTCCAACATTCACAAAGTGCTGGTAGAACTACAACTCTTGAAGACTTGTGGTCCCTTTTTCAGTTCCTTCAGAAATGGCAAATTCAAAACATACCCAGAGACAAAGCTTATTTCTGGAGCTTTTAAACATATCCCACACCCTTCTTCTTTTGAAAAGCTCAGGAAATAAGCTAGTAAGTGAACACCGAGTTAAGAATATCCTTAACTGAGCTTTTAAAGTCTATTGTCCGAGCATTTGCTGTTTTGATGAAGGGTAATGTTTTTCAGCATTACCACTGTACAAAATATGTTTTATATATATATATATATACATATAATATATATATATATATATATATATAAATATACATGTGTATATAAGAACTAAAACGCTGATGTTCCTGACTTGTGTCCCATCTCATGCTAGAAATCACTGTTGAGTTTTGTTAAGTGTTTCTTGGCCACAAGCTTTCCCAAACCATATCTAAGTGGTTTAAGTTGCCTGATCGTAACCATCATTTATTTATTTTATTTTTTTCATGGATGGCGGATGACCTATCATCCATTGAATTTATTTTTAGGCTCCACACCTTTTCTTCTATAATGGCTAATAAAATAGCTACATATCAAAGTAAACAGGAAAGTCCTTGGAGATTTGAAGATACCAGTTTGTGCCTCTGATAATAATGTGAGATTGAACCCATTTCTGAAGTCTACATATGGTGATTTGACTTTAAAGGACTAGCGTGTGGGATTTAGTGACATCCACCGGTGTAATTCTAGATTTCAACCCTCTCGCCTCAACCTCCCATTCCCAGTGTGTAGGAGAAACTACAGTGCCCACGAAACTTGCGAAACAACGCCAAAGGTCCTATCTAGAGCTAGTGTTTGGTTTGTCTGTTCTGGGCTACTGTAGAAACATGGTAGTTCCCACTGTGTTTTTGTTACCTTAGAATGAGCCATTTTTATCTACAATCAATTCTGATATTCAAGTTAAATCTACACTAATGAAAAAACACCTCTAAATATTATATTCCATTTCTGCCAATAGATCCTCCTAAATGTTACACACTGGACCTTCTTGGTCACTGATGATATCTGATAAAGATGGAATATCAAAATGTCATAGCTGTACTAAATAAATATTTCTGAGGGCATCAGTGTGCAGGCACCTTTTTTTTCATATTCTTATCTATTATATTGTTCCTGCTAATTTGCCAGTGCACCTGTTATATTGTTCTGGTCTGCATGTACACCCTTGTGGATAGGATTCTGGTTCCATCTTCAAAACAGTGGTGAGAGAAAGTTGAAGAACACCCTTTTTTCAAATAGTTCATGATTTACTGATCCAGTGGAATAATGATACACGAGAGGCATACACTGGGCTGGTTTGCAGAACCTCATGAGGATTTGTGGCAAACTGTGCTGTGATTGGCCCACCTCACTGGAAGTTTGGGTTTTGGCATAAGGTTAAAAAAGGTCATGTTAAGTTAAAGCTTGAGACAGTTGAGTTTAAATATAAAGCTGAATATGATCTGCGCATTGGTAAAGGTTTGGCGTAGTTAAAATGTGGGTTAGAATCTTTTGGTCCCTGCCCATAACTGCAATGGGATCCATAATTACCCAGATGAGTAGATAGGTTTTATTTTTGGCCGATCTATTCCTTACACTTGAATACCCAGAATTCCTGTAATGTGATGTCAGCATGCCCCTGTTTACCAAACTGGCGTGTGACGCCTCGTACCAAAGAGGTGAGGGAAGAAAAGAGCAACTTCCAGCGAGTCCAGCTTTCAGTGGATGTCCATTCACTGCTGTAAGGAGTCGACTCCTCATATTATACTTTAACGTTTGAGTTCGAGGAGATATCTCCGCCTTCCACCTGAATTTCATTTGGCAAAACAGGGTAAACTTGCAGCACCTCAGTGGAGTATGTGTATCTTTGCTCCTGCAGCTTAAATTGAAGCTGTCTCTCTGTCTCCGTGTGCTGTATTGATTCACTTGGCACCCACTTATGTCCTATAATGGAACAGAGCTCATGTGCTGTCACTAGCATTTGGAGAACTGCACGACCCTACCTATTAATTCCTGAGACTGAAAACACGACAAACAGGTCCAGAATTTCTGGTTTGCCGAATGTCGGCCACTCTCACGGTCCTATTACTGGAGCTGGATATTATCAAAAGATATCAGTGACAGAGGACATTTTTCGCAGTATTATGATACAGTCAAATCTGGAGCTGCTCCCGAGCTGTGAAAGGCAGGCATATGGAGAAATGGTCTGTATCTGTGCCTCGGTAAACAGAGCCAAGTCCCGAAATGACTCCTTCTTTTCTATTCGCAGCTGAGGCTAACTAAAGATTGGTATTTGTTTTTGGTGCATGGAAGCTGTCCAAGAAATGCGTGTGTGAGCGCGCGCGTGTGTATTTCTGTATATGCACTTTTTGTTCGTGCATCCACGAGTGTGTACGTGCAGTCAGTCTGCTTCTGGCTGTGTGGGACGCTCTGGGAGACGGGGATACAAGTGTGTGTGTCCAAGTGTTTATGTGTCGGAGTAGTGGGGCGTTTTGGGAAGAGAAGGACAGAGTGAGTGGTAGCTATACCTTGACTGGACTGTCCATCTTGCATTTTGGGGAAGAGGGGGGGAGAGGAAGAAGAAGAGGGAGTGTGCAGAGAGGAGGAGAAGGAGGGTGGGGAAAGGGCGAGGAGAAGAAGGGAAAGAGAGAGGTTCAGGGGTGACAGGAGGATGGCTTCATGGCTGCATTTTCCCTGCGCTGAATTTCCACACTCCCCTCCTCTCTTCTCTGTTTTGCCTTATTCAGCTGAGCGAGTGAGGGAGTCAAACAGACAAGGAGAGTTTGCAGTTTCAAGACTGAGAAAGAGAGAAAAATCAAGCCAATTTTCTGCGTTTTTTGGTTGTTTTTTTTAAGGCTGGAATTTTGGCTGTCTTACAAACAGATGTTGCTTGTCATTTGCTCGTAGTGCAGGGAGGCTGTTTGTAGATTGCAGAGGTTTTACAGGCTGAAAGATTACCTTTCGCTTATTTATACTTATTATTACTAGCGCGCGGTAAACCGAAATTGTAAAAACACCAAAAAAAGAAAGAAAAAAAAAACGAGTCTGTTTTTCTGTTATCGTTTACTTTTTTCCCCTCCTTCTCTTCCCCCCACCAGTTTCTCTCCCTCTTCCCTTTGCTTTTTTCTTTTGTCTCACTCTTTCCCACCCTCTCCCCGAGCTCCCTTTCGGGTTGGTTTTGTTACTGTAGTTGCATGTTTGAGCTGGGTTTTTTTTGGTGTTTTTTTTTGTTTTTTGATGGGCCACAGTGGACATGACTGCCTATACCTTCTGCCAAGCACCGTAGGCCCTGCAGAGTAGAGAAAAGAAACATTTGGAAACTAAACATAAAGGCAAATCGGTAAGTCCTCATGCTACCAATGTGCTTCAAGCTTTTTCCACTTCTTCTCTTTTGCTTTGTGGCTCTTCACGTTCAGCAGTGTGGTTGCTGTTTTTGTCCCGTGGTGGAGTTTTACTGTGATGTTTACTGTACATTAGCTGCGGTGAAAGGGGCCTAGACTGAATGCTACCTGTTGGCTAGCCGGGGCTATCTGTTTACACTGCATGGTATTATGAAGTGCTAACGACATGCCACTTCCTCACCTCTCACTTCTTCACCTCTGTTGAACCCCCCAACCCCCACCCCACCCTACCTTCTCCTACACACACACACACACACACACACACACACACACACACACACACACACACACACACCTCTGTTGCTGGGTAGATTTGGGGGAGCAGGGCTGGGTAGCGCTGCTGGGTTTTCCTGCCGGCGCTGTTCAGTGCCGAACAATGCAGGTGGTGGCCTTTAGCCGCTCTCAGTTCTGTCGGCGCTCTTCTAAGTCATCCTCACACGCACACACACGCTGGTGCAGCGGTGGCGGCGTTGGCTGGCAGGGTGCTGTGGACCCCGCTGACCTCTTTGTTCGGCCAATCTCAAGGTGTCTTTCAGCTCGCTGGCAAAGACCCACTGACATACTTTAAGCAACTTGGCAACAGCTTCAAAGTCAGACGTCTCATTTAAATTCAGGCAGAGGGAAGAGAAGGAGAAAAGGAAACTTCAGATGGAGTCTGGAAGTTGAAATTGGACCACTCACTCTCTTTTTCATCTCTAAGTTTTACAAGTTTTACGTTGTTGCCTGTGCTGCAGAGCGACAACTGTGTTCACATTAGACGGGAATGTGCAGTCCACAGTTGAACTTTTTGCGTGTGCATTGTGGCTTTTATCTTCAGTGAAAAGCTTGTAATGTAAAGTGAGTGATCAGAGAATAGTTTTAATATTATAAAATGTATATTATTATCCTTTTAAAGATTTCAAGAAAACAGTCCTGTGACGTGTAGGTGGTTCGTCTTCTCAGTTTAATCATCTTTTAGTGCTTTTATTAGCTGCATAATGTCACCAAGTTATTTTTGTCATTATTTTTATTAAGGCATCTATACATTTGTGAGCCTTTGATAATGTAGCTCTATTAAGAAATCCTATTATAATATTACAGATCCATGCCATGATTCCTCGCCCTGTCAATTAATTTAATTCAAGCACAACATGAGGACCAACTTTATTATTTTGAGACCATTGTTGCAGTATGTACTGTACAGCCAGGCGTCTGTATGGCACCACAAAGTCCTGCTGAATATCCACAGGTATTAACAAAGCAAAAACTCCTACACTGTGTTTTATGAGAGCAATTTATTTTGAACATTTTATATTACTTGCGTCTCATTTGAGCTCAGCCACATGCCTCTTAAAATGCCACTCGAATTTTTCCGCCCATCACTCACTGGAACGACTTTCTCGTAGCGAGGAAACAGAGCCGTGTACAAGTGTTGGCATAATTATAACCTGTAAGCAAACGATAAAGTACAATATGAAGTTCAATATGTACTCAGTTGATGCAGTGCATTGTGGGATCAGCTGAGGAGTTGAGCTGGTGGAGTCTTGTGAGTGAAGATGGAAGTGTTGGATGAAGAGTGACCACCCAAAAATGTTGTTTTCTGATTTAGCAATTGTGGGAAATGACCTTCCTTGTAATCCTGTTCTTTTAAATATAGATTAAAGTTTGTACTTTTGAATGGCAGTGATTATTCCATTATTTGTTTCATTCTCGGCCTACATTGTATTGTCTTATATTTGAAACTGTGAATTTTTCAAATCCAAGGTAGAACAGGAGGCTTCATCATTTTTGTTGAATATTAGGCTAATTATTTGCATCTAATTTTCAGCAATAAGTGGTGTTAACGTTTGTGTATTAAGCTTTAAATTATTGACTTATTTACTGCCTTTAGAAAGGAATCTTGAAGTACACATGGTCCTGCTGATGAAGGCTCATTCCTTCTTTCCTGTCATGCTGACGGATGCATGAAGTCATCTATGCTCACGGCCCCGAACCCGTAGATCCGAACTTGTGTTAACTCACACCACAAGCTTGTATCTACAGGTCTGCGTCTGTGCAGCTCCAACAACCCGAGCAGCATCAGCGAAAAAATACAGCGGGGCCACTCGCCAGCTCTCTCCAACTTTATTAACCGTTTCCCTGTCACAGATACTGGCAGCACTGCTTTACTCTGGTCGTTCCCAAGAAAGCTCCCTCTGTCGTAGTATCAAACCGCTTCTGAGGTCCTCACATTCAAAACCTGAACCCTCCAGAACAGGCTTTTCTCAAACTGTATAAAAATATCTAAAACAATATCTGTCTCAGAAATCTCCTAAGCTATACCAAAGCTTGGAAAAGTCAGATTTGGGTCTTTTTCAGGGGTCCTTGACACTTTTCCACACAGTTCAGTTTGTCTTCTCCAAAAACAACTGGACTTTGAGGGTTTAAGAGAAGGCCAACGAAGAGTCAATTAAAAGGGAAATTATAATTAGAGCAACAATTTATTTGTGTATACCTCAAATGTTAGTTTGTGGAAAGCTCCCGAGGAGACGGCTATTTCAGTCAGCAGTCAATTAGCTGCAGCTCGGCCTTTCTGGTGTTAATGAAGTGGACATCGGGCCAATTAGAGAATGCATACTAATGGCAGCCGTAATGCTTGTTTTCTCACAAACTGCCATTACCTCCCACATGTTAGCAGTTTCAAATGAGCAACTGCAAGCCTTTTCTTTAAGGGAGAAAGTCTGATCAGCATTTAGAGGGCTGGGGTTGGTTTGTGTGTTTTGGGGTCAGTGACGTAAAGAGTTTGGAGTAAGACATGTTTATCTGCTTTGTGTATAGAGACTGTATCTAAGATACACAGTTGCACTGCTAGGGCCCCTTTTAAAATGTTATAACCGCTTTGACATGGGAGGAAAGTATCTCATAGTGCATCAAGTTTTAGTCTTTTAACCACAAGAAGTTTGCACCCTCCTTCCGTTTTTATCCCCCCTGAGCCATGAAGCCCTGGTGTCCAGGTCTGCTTGCTCCCAGGTTGAGGTAGTAGGTTGTATAGTTGAGAATTACACCCCGGGAGATAACTGTACAACCTCCTAGCTTTCCCTGAGGTACGCATGGCGCTCTGCACAGCCGGATCAATACAATCCAATGTTATTACTGTACCAGTCACACACACACACACACGCAAAAAAAAAAGAAAAAAGCTGAGATATTGTACGCTCCACACGGTCAATAGCAATCCAGGCTGTTTGCTGATGGAGCAGGAGGGGAGAAAAAGCTCTGGTTTCCACTTTTGGCTCTGTGACGCCAGCGTGGTAGTCCATGATGTGCATGTTTGTGCATTATCGGTTGATCTGATCTGGGGTGTTTGAAGACTGACACTGAAGCTGATATTTATGGGTTTATGTGTGAATATTACAAGTGTTAAATGTGACTGTTTTACATCCCTAAATATTATATTAAAGAGATGCCTTCAGTGTTTCCCTCAGGCTTTTCTTCTCGTCTGGCTAACAATGCGTATTTTATTTTTTATATTATTATTCAACCTGCAGCTAACCTTTGTTGTTTGCTCTTACTTTTGTTACAGTTGTTGAATTCATTGATTTGTCAACAAAATGTCAGGAAACAGTGACAAATGCACATCATAGATGTCTTCAAATTACTTATTTTGTTTGACCAACTACCCAAAATTTAAAGTCCCCCTCTAGTCAAAAAAATCTCTTTGTCCCTACAGTGTGCTGTCTGAATGCTGTCTGTGCAGAGTTTGACTCTTGAAGGATGTTTTCACATTCATCTGCTGAAAGTGGAAAGTTTCTCTGAGCTCATTCAACATCTGATTTTAAGGGGCGGGGCCTACCAGCATGATTTGTGACATCATAAATAGTTAGGAAGTCAGTCCTGGTCCAGTATACAACTTGTACAGTGTGATGTAGAAACTTGAATCCACCAGTGCACATCCACTGAGAATGGACTTTACAGTGAAGGAGGAGACATCTTGTGTCCAGTAGCAAAACTTTAGAAAGATTACTTTTTAAGGATTTTAATGCGAAAATTTTAGCTTTTTTTGCAGGAAAAAAAATCTGACACACATTATTGTTCCAGCAGATAATTTTATTATGCCTGGAGGGGGTCTTTAAATCACATTCAAGAAGCTGAACCTAGAACATTTGTGATATTTTTGCTTGAAAATGAACTTAAACATCAGTTATGCCAACACAATTTCTGACAAAAATTGACAATCAATCAATTCGACTGCTCATTGTATTATTAGGATGCAGTGGCTATGTATTAAAAGTGGACAACTCTGATAGATGTCTCTCTGTCCAGCTGTGTGTGTGTGTGTGTGTGTGTAGTGTGACCAGTAAGATGTGTGTTTGTGTGTGTGTCAGCTGTCAGCAGGGCTGACGTGAAGTCAGCTGTGTTGGCCCGTGTGTAGCAGGCAAGTGGAGATCAGAAGCATGGCGTTGGGAGTGACATGCGAGAGCTTTTAAGCGTTGTTTGAAACATCGGTTCATCTCCGAGGTGACGCCCTATTATTCGCTAACTTCATTAAAGCTGCCGGTTTTGGGGAAGAAGTTCGGCTGCTTCAGTCTTGTCGTCTGCGCGATGACAGATAGCGCTTGTCAAAGATATCACATGCAAAAGGGTGGGGGGAAAGAGTTTGAAATCGGAGCCTCAGACGAGCAGAATCCTGGTCCATTTACGGCGGATAAAATCAGTTGTCACTGCAAACAATTATTGTCATAATATTTCCAATCGGCGAGACGCAGACTGCGTGGAAACCACTGCTGTCAAAATATCTGACATGTGAAATATTGTGACACTCAAGGAGAAACAGAAGGAAAATGAACAATTACAGCAACACACAGAAAAGTCTTCAGACACTACAGCATGGCATGGGTTGGCTTTATAAACAGGGTTTATTTGATTTGCAGTTGAAATCATTCATTGATTTTCCACTTTCAAAGCAATTCGCCAAACTTCTGAAAACTGAAGTTCTACCAAAATCAACCAGTGCAGCTGTTGTTGCTCAGCCCCTTCCCTGTGCATCTGTCCTCTCACACCAGCTGACATTTTACTACCAAAGAGAACCACTCTTCTTCTTCTGCTGTCCTCATTGGAAGAAATATAATCCCTAATTTATGCTGTGAATCTCCTGGCTGAAGTGTGGGGATGAAGCTGGTCAGCCTCTGCTGGATTTACAGTCTTGAACACTCCCAGTGCAGCAGCAGCAGCAGCCTGTGTGTATCACCCCCACATGGTATACACTGAGAATATACCGAGGCCCACCTCCCAGTCTGCCAGGACGCACTGTGTGTGTGTGTGTGTGTGTGTGTGTGTGTGTGTGTGTGTGTGTGCAGCTGAGGTAACAGGTAGAGGAGAAAAAGACTGCCCCCTGTTGGTTACCACTGTGACGTGTCCAGCTGTGGGGAGGCTCAGATTTGGTGACTTGGCAAATGATGGAAGACGTGGTTTTACAGCATATATGGTGACCGTGTGGTTGTATAAGGGCTGTGTGTGTGTGTGTGTACGCATGCGTGTGTGCGTGAGTGCAGCATTAAAACAACCCAGAGCAGAAAGTGAGAGCGTCCAGCTTTGTGGGGTTTCATGTGGTCAGTCTTCTCCTTCATTTCTCTCCTTCTTTTCCTCTCTATCGGATGGACAAATATTTTTCCTTTTGCCATCTGTGTGTTAGTGTGTGTGTGTGTGTGTGGTAGCAACAGACTCTTTTTACTCGACTCTCATCTCCCATTCCACTGTGTTAGAATCAAGAAATATCAGCATTAAGTACTGCCTATCTGTATTTAATGCTTAAGTTATATAACTGCATGTTTCAGTGGGTCTTCCTGCACTCTGATTGCACTGTTGCATCTTGCTTTGATCAGTATTTATTTCTAAAATTAGTTTTGACCAAGAGTTTAAATTCGAGCTGCACGGATTAGCTGTCAACTATTAAATCAATCACCAACTATTTTTATAGTCAATTAATCGTTTTGAGTCATTTTTTAAAGGAAAAAAAATCAGATTTCAGCTTCTAAAATGTGAATATTTTCTGCTTTCTTTAGTGAATTGAAGATCTTTGGGTTGTAGACAAAACAAGACATGTGAGGATGTCACCTTGGGTTTTGGGAATCAGTTTTAAAACATTTTCTGACATTTTATGGACCAAACTAATGGATTCATTGCGCAAATCATCAACAGATGAATCGATAATTCTAATTTGAATTCATAGTTTTAATAGTGTCCCTGCCCAAGAAAAAAGAATAGAATAGTAAATAGTTTAAAATGCTTACAGTAATCCATTCCTCTATCACAGAATTCTAGAACCATCTTCCTGAACCTTTATTTTCATTTTTCGTCACTGTTGCCATAGCAATGACCCCGTTGACCTCTGCGGGCCTGTCCTCTTCCTCCCATCAATCAGATGTGACAGCTGTCAATCAATCACTCTGGCCAACAGTGGCGCTGCCTCAGCCATCCAGCAAGCGTGTCACCCTGCACAGTGCGCACACACACTCACACACTCACAGCATCAACACTGTATGTTTGTTTTCTACCTCTCCGGCTCTGCGGCCCGGTGCTGTGCGCTTCATTTGCAGTCCTGCTGCTGTTTTCTCGGATGCGTGGGCTAGCGTGACAGATCTGGGTCTCTCTTGATGTACTACTTGGCTCACCGGGGCTGATTCCCGGCCATTACCAGCTCATAACGAATACTTGAAGAGAGTGAAATGGGCTTGGTGAATCAGTGGCGATGAACTGTCGTTTACCTGGATGCAGAGTTGAGCATTAACCACGTGGATGGAGTTTTGCAGTATTTGCATTTCAGTCCTGAAAACCCTCTTCTGAAGTGTTTTCTGCATTTGTGCTCTAGTTGGCGTGTCTCTGCACCTATTTACCAATGTGCGCACGTGTGTGTGCATACATGCCTCAGTGTGCATGTGTGTGTGTGTGTGTGTGCAGGAGTGTGTGAGCCTTTGTCTGCCTGCTGCGCGCTCTCACCGTCAAAGCGTGCTAATATTAGGGCCTGGCCGAAGACTGGCTCTATCTGGACACAAAGCGGGTGATAAATGAGGATAGCTGCACTCTACGTGTGTGTGTGTGTGTCAACAGGGAGATTTTAAAATTGGTAACGTCAGTGTTTTTCGCGTGGAGGGGGGGGTTGAGCGTGCTGTAGATCCAGATGCAGGGTTTTTTCCAGCAACTGCAGCTGTATAGAGATAGAAAAACGGCACAATGCGCCGTCTGCCAGACAGCAGTCAAAGAGGATTGGAGATTAGCCGGGGTGCAGACACAGTCGGTCGATCAGTCAGTCAGGGAGGGAGAGAGCAGAAGAAAAGCAAGAGGGCAGTGTGGTCTCAGGGATTTTTCTCTCTCCCCCCCCCCAGTCTCTCTGGGCCCCGTCGCTGATTTGAGCCTACAGTCGGTTGTACGTCGCCGCTCTCCTTCTCTGCTCCATCTGTCCCTCCCCCCATCATCTCTCCTCTTTCTCTCCTTCCTCCCTCCCTCTCTCTCTCTCTCAGTCTCTCTCTCTCTCTCTCCATACCAAAGCCTGGGGGAGCCAGTGGAGATTAAATGTAGCCTCTATAAGCCAAAGCACATCATGTAGCAATGTTTCTATGGTCCCTTCTCTCTCACACTCTTTCTCTCTCTGTCTCTCTCTGTCTCTCCTTCCTTTTCTGAGGGGACAGTGTGAATGATGTCGGCTCGTGTGAGACATAGAATAAGAGAAAAGAAAGAGAGGACTGGAAAAGTGGATTTTTGTTTTTTGCATGCATGCAGAAGAGAACAGAGGATTTGTTTTATGGGTGGAAAACGGACAACGGCAAGGTGGAAAAAAACAACGAAAGGAGGACTACTTTCTCTCTACCTCCCTCCCCACCCCCCTCCCCCCCTCCTCACCTCTCTCTCTCTCTCGTCTGATACAGAGGAAAAGTGGGCCTCTGGCTGTAAGCGATTACAGCTGTGAGGCAAATTAATGGATGATATTTCTCCCCCCACCCCACCCCCCACCCCCCACCCCCTTTTTCCTTTTTTTTCAAAAAAAAAATGTTTTTCCTCCTGCCGATCAACACGGGAAGGAAAAAAGAGCCAGAGGGGGGAAAAAGACAAGAGTGAAAGAAAGATTGAGAGAAAGAGGTGGAGTACTAATATTGGGGAGAAGGAGGGGGGGGGCTACGTTTTTTTTCCTGTCTTCCCTCCTTCCCAGCTCCGCGTGTGATTGAAAGAGAGAGAAAACAATGCGAGGGAAAGGGGCGAGGAAGAGAGAAAGCGGAGCGAGACAAGAGATCAGCAGGCGCATTGGTTTTGTCCTTTAAATTGGATTGTGTGTGTGAGTGAGAGAGAGAGCGAAAGAGTGTGTGTGTGTGTGTGTATGTGTTTTTTTTCCCTCGCCAACCTGCCTTGGACCTGCAGGTTTGGGTAAAAAAAAAGAAGTAAGTAGAGGTTCGGGTGCGAGGAAAGGCAAATGAGTGTGTCACTGCTGTGTGTATGAAATGCGTGTGTGTGTGTGTGTGTGAGTGAGTGTGTGCACACCCCCTCCTCACCCCCCAACCCCCACCTCCCTTCGGTGAGGCAGCATAGTGGTATGCTTCACTGGCACTGTGGCCCTGGCTGCAAGCACTGATTCCGTGGCTCGATGCTCGCTCTTTTATTTTATCTCTCTCTCTCTCTCTCTCTCTCTCACTCTCTTCCTCCTTCTCCTTCTCTCTCTATGCCCCTCGCTCGCTGCCTTCCCCTCGCTGTCCTACCTGTTCCGTCTAACCTTTAAGTATCAGTTCCTTTCAGCGTTTTCGTTTTCTGGGAAGAGGGATCGTCTCGCCGTCTCTCTCTCTCTCTCTTTCTCTCTCTGGCGGCTATCCTCTCCGGACTGCTCACTCTCGCTCTGTGTGTGTGTGTGTGAGAAAGAGAGAGAAGAGATAGAGGAACAGAGAGCATGCACATGGTTCATTACGGCTCGGTCCTACCACCCATCCTCATGCCTCTCTTTCTTTCTTGTCTCCGTCCTACGTTCTCTTCTCGTCTTTTTCGCCCGACTTCGAGCTGCTCGCCGGACGGACGGACCTCTTCCTCGCCTTCCTTTTTGTGAACAAAAAAACCCCCCTCCTTCTTCTTCAGAAAATAACTGGAATCTTGTTGGCGTGCTGTGAGTTTAAATCTGAGCTTTCTCTTTCTCTCTCTGTCTCTTTTTTCTTCCCCCCCCTGAGCAGGAAGCGAGCTGGAAGAACAACGAGCAAAGGGGGCATCCTGGATCCGAAAGGGAGGGTGAGTCGATACCAACGAATACTCTTCCTCTCCACTTCCCTCTCAGCTCCCCATCTGTTTCCTAAGCTTTAGACCACCATGGTGGCATGAAGAAGCCGGAGAGCTTTGTTATCTGCCTTGTCTTTTCTGCTGTGCAGCCTGAACGGGGATTTGCGGCAGTAATGATTGAGCATGCATTGAATGATTTTATTAACAGCGGAAGACGGAGACAGTCGGAGAAGTCATCATGTCAGGGGGATTGTTTGACGCTGTGCGGTCCTAGCCTCACATTTCGACGCTGTAATCGATGCGTCCGCACAGGGTTTTTGTCTCGTACGTCCGCAGCAATGATTAGCAGTCATCGGCTGATTAAGATTTTCCCGGAGACAGCGGGAGATCTTTAGGCGTACTGTACAGCAGCAGGCTCCGTACCTGATGGCAGGAGGCATTTTTCAAAGTGCTGTATTGTTCAGCTGAGGTGGGGGAGGGGGCGAGGGAGAGAGAGAGAGAGAGAGAGAGAGAGAGAGGAGTTGGGGGGGGCTGGCCAATGTTGTGTCTGGCTGAGGCTTGCACTTGTTGTATGTTCACGAATACATACGGGGGCAGTGGAGGTTGCAATGAGCATGCTCAATTAATGCGTGAAATTTCAGTGTGTGTTTGATGCGTCGCTGCATGTCTGTAACAGACAGAGCTCGCTCTGTGTGCAAGGGATGCTCAGACGCTCCCAGGTCCTCATTTGACTTAAAGACGGGTTCCGTGCATGGGAGCCTTCTCGTTCAGGAACACACAAGATTTCTTTTGGCGTGTTTCACAAAGAAAGACACGAAATCCCGAATCCTGAGGGCTGGGAGCCGCTGTGAGGAGGCAAAGGAGCCCGTATGAAGATGCATCTCTCTCCGTCCCTGAGACCCTAACTTGTGACGTTGTGCTTTCATGTCCACGGGTTAGGCTCTCGGGAGCTGAGAGGGATGCACGGCCAGCACTATCTCCCGCACGCTCCCTTCTCGAACAATGGCGATCAGAGGGGGAAGGCCATGGCGCAGTGAGCTAAGGCGTTCACCGCACGTTCGCTGTGTCACACTTTTCAGTTTGGCTCACATCCTGCTGTATGTTGCATGTCACCTGGGCTTAATCTGTGTTCTGTCTGTTGCACCGTGCACCACGGAGTGGATCAGGTAGATACCGCAGACGGAGCGGTATACACTGGTGAAATCTCTGGGTTTAGGAGGATAGGGATGTAGCGGCATGTATGCTGTTTTAAGGGTCATGTAACAAAGTTAAGGCAGGATGAGCTGAGGCATTTAGATTGATGACAGGAAGCTATCATCCTACTTCAACAGAGGCCTGGTTGTATCAGTCCTTGGCCATTGCGCTACACTAATTATTTGTATTTGATATTTAAATGTACCCATCAGATATCAGTCAGTCAGTACTGACAAACTTGAACGTGATGCTACTTGTGTGCTCACACATAAAGCCCTTATTGTGGTCTCATGCTAATGTAGCATTTAGATCCTACTCCACACAAGTAAGACTCATGAATGTCTTTTATTCGGCTTTTCAACGGATAGTTTTAATGCTACACAGTCTCAATGCTGTTTTAAATGGCTTCCAAAACACAGAGGAACAATATTCTCTGCTGAATACTTCCAATTTAGAGAATTTAAGCTAATTATTTAGCATAACAATTAGCACAGGTACCTTACAAAAAAAGCTTCAGGTGGAACGCTACCTGGATGCCAATGATGGTTGGCATCCTTAGCCACTAGCTAACTAAAACTAATAACAGGTGCTGGTAAAGAAATAGCTAAACAGCTGGTTAGCATCAGTAGCTTATGAGATAATGCTAATGCTGCTGTGATAGCATTAGCCTCTTCACACACCAGTGGATACAGTTAAGTAAAGAAGCATCTGTCAGTGTGATAGCCCTTTGTTTCTCCAGCCGTCCGTGTACCTTTGCGATTTGAGAGCAGCACAGAGTAATGTTGCGAGCGTGACCATGACAGCTCTGTACATTATGTGCTTGACCTCAGTGAACCCTCAGCGATGGTGAAGCTCACTCACTCATGCTAACACAAATGTAAAGCTGGCGGGGAGAACACACTCACGGCGCAGCAAGGGATGTCCACTGAGAACAATGTGTGGTGCCTTCCACCGCTAGACGACGACATCGCCACCGTCCATGCTTCACATGTGAAGTGCTCCTGCAACTGTTGATTTTAATTCTGGGGTCTCTGGAGTGGCAGCACGCTTTGTCGTCAACAGTAACATGAATCCCACTCTGACTTTTGAATAACAATTGAGTTGGTCACTGTAGCAAAGCAGCACATGGCGGCTCTTCGGGGCACACGGCCATCAGGTTCTTTTCTCCTCCGACTGGTTCTTTAAGGGTTAGTTTACCGTGTCGTCCTCCTTTGCACCTCGCAGCTCACTCTCAGGAGGCCATTGCTCTCCTGAGAGCCATTTGCAGCCTATTTTTTAACAGCAGCTCTTTGACAGCATGATTCATCGATATTTGACTTAGGCCCATCACACCGTAGCTAATATCTGGTTTTAATGGGGCGTAGCGTGAATATTGATGATGGCTCATCCTCATGGGCGCTTCCCTTCATTTAAATGGATGCTAAACCCCCCATGCACTTGTGGATCCCAGATTTTAGGAAGTGGAAATTGGTCGTGGTAATATCTGCTGCAAAGCTCTACATGGATGCATATGAACACCTAGAACTGCTCTACAGGATGTTAGCTTAGATATTGCATTATTACAGGGTTTTTCAGACATGCTTCAGTTCAAAGACTGCGTTTGTGCCTGGCATCTCAGATCTTTGTGACCCTGAAGCTCCATTTATTTTGATCAATAAATGCCTCTTTTCAACAGTTTTGTTTTTACTCTTGACCTTGAGGTATATTTGTCATTTACCCTCCGCCACTGGCATTTATTCAGCTGACAACAGCTGGATATGATGTTGCAAAAGATGCTTCGCTCTGTCTGATTGTATCAACCATGACCGTGTGGATTCCCGCAGATGCTTCCGTCCTGTTGTTAATGAACTAATATGGATTATAACTTGAACCCCCTCTGCGCTGCTAATCTGCTGCTTTGGCAGTTATCTTATGTAACGCCGCCGTCAGCCCCGTGTCTATCGTTTTCTGCCGTATCTCTGCCTCAAAATCGTTTTTTTATTTGTTCAGCCCAGTGAACAAACACTAACCTGCAGCAGTTAGTGTCTAGCCGGTAAGCTCGAAAAGGGGGCTGCAGGCTTGCTCTCCATTGTTCGACTGCTCCGCACACTGTCTGTACACCGTGTCCCCATGGCTGAGGCAGACATGGAGGATAGACAGACAGACAGACAAACAGACAGAGCGACTGGTGGGCATATACCCGCCTAGATAAGCTGCTTCATCGTCCCAATGTTGATTGAATTTTTTACAAAAGGGATGATTTGCATGAGGAAGCCTGTGAGCTGAATCCTGATCTGATCCAACATTTCAGACTGGTTTAATGAAATGTGGGTAAAAATGGTAATCTTATTCTTCGACTGACTGACTGGGAAGCTTTTACCCAGCAGTTTCAGGTGTGTGAGTCAGTCAGACCGGTAATGACACCTGCCTAACTGAGATCCTGCACCAGTAAGTCTCAGAGATTTACTAGTCTAGATTTCAGTCTCCCACAGTGGTCTAAATGCAGCTTTTGTGGCTTGAAATATCCGCTGTTCCAGTATCGGTTGATTCCAAACGCCAGCAGGCAGCTGTTGATTGATGTAATCTCTTTTAAGGTGGACCTTTGTTAAGGTGGACTGTGGAAGGTGCAGTGCAGTGGATGACTTAAATCTGGTCAAAAAGGGAGTTTTTGTGTGGAGGGTGTGTCGGATGGGTTGCTGCAGGGTTACGCCCAAAGCGCCACGGGAAAATGTTTGAGGAATCGACCCGATCGGATCAAAATAAAATTATTGATCAGTGACATCGATCGGCGCGTTGAGAGTTGGCTGGCGACGAGCCTAGACGTTTCTTTGTGGCAGCAGAGGTGGCTTCTCTCCGTTTACACTCACCATTCTGCAGGTTTTTTTCTGCCACTCCCTTCAACACACAGCCTCGGCTGTGCTGCAGGCAGGAGAAGCACACTCATCAATAATCAGAGCTGGTCAGCGTCCGTGTGTGTGTGTGTGTGTGTGTGTGTGTGTGTGTGTGTGTGTGTGTGTGTGTGTGTGTGTGTCGTGCTTCCTACAGTATCTGTCAGCATGTCTGTTAGTGTGTGTGTTTAGCAGTTCTTCCCACTGCAGAGTTCACTGCCCCTTCCTTCCAGTCTGTCTGTGAAACAAGATGGCGTCGCAGCTCCACGTGGGCTAATACCCACTACCTATGGCACCGGCGAGCAGCGGAGGGCATTTTTGGAACTGCACACCTGCGGCGTATGTTCACCACAGAGCTGAAATTGCTGTGGCGCTCCTCAGTGATGTAGCTTGGCTGACTTTTCAGAGATTTAGGATTTGGGGCAGATCCAGTGCTTTCATTGTTTTTCTTGTTGCTTTTTTCACTCAGTCTGTGCATCAGCTGCCAAACTGTATGCTGTTATGTCTGCAATCTGGGCGTTTTTTTTTTTTTTTAAATGTGCCGGTTGGGTGGACGAGTATGTTTTCAGCATGATTTGTCTGTATCTGTGTGTGTGTGTGTGTGTGTCCCTGATTCAGGCTAAAGCCAGTTTAAAGGAGCTTGGGGATTGTGCGCAGCCACATCACACCAGCAGATTAACCAGACTACACACTAACCTCATTAATCTGAGAGAGACTAATGTCACCAACAATGTGTCAGCAGTCACACACACACACACACACACACACACACACACACACACACACACACGTCAAACTCTTCCCTTTGTCTCTGCCTAATAGAAACCCAGGTACTGATAACTGGAGGCCGACTCATCTTCAGTGTCAGCACTGTCCTGCTGCGGGTCGTGTTGGATTTAAAGACACGGTGGAAATCCCCAGATGAATCAACATTTAACCCTTTCCTGCCACGTCAACCAAAAAGCTGCAAACTTTTTCTCTTTTTTTTTTGGGACGTTTGGAGGGAAAGAGCTGAGGCACGATGGCTGTGGTTAACGTTTTGGATCATTTTCTGCCTCAGCAGCCCTGATACCAGGAAGCTGTGCAGATGTGATCATCTATTGTGCGTCTGCACATAGAGAGATTTGGTTTTTGGGGGTTTCTCTTTCTTTATTCCACAGAGCTGGCAAGTTTTTGAAGGATTGTATCTGTGATCTGTTTGAGGATGATGGGCACATCACACAGCAGCTGGATCAGGACAAGATATTATAGCAGCAACAATTCTCACAGAATTTTAGGCTTTCACTGTATCAGTGTTCTTTAAGACGACATTTACACACCTGCTCCTTGTCACAAATTTGTTTTAGTTTAATGCTGCAATATGATTGCCAACTGAATATCTGAATATGGTTTTTGGACTGTAGGTCAGACAAAACGAGACATTTAAAGACGTCACTTCCTGGCATCTTATTGGTATTTTTTTTTTTACATGTGATCAAATAAATAATAGCAGATTAATCAATAGTGAAAATAACAGGGAAACTGAAGCGTCACATCAGATGCACAGTATCTACAATACTGCATACATAATGTGCATTTACTATATACTAAATAAACACAAGACACTTTAGCCTACACCAAATTCTATTTACCCAAGTCTCCGTTCTTTAGCACAAATTTCTTATCTGTTTCATGAATTGCCCTTTTCTGTATTTTACATGTGACTTTTCAGTATTTCGCACAATGTCCAAATCCAAAATAAATTTATTTTCATTAGTTGCAATTGTGTACTTCCTTGATCAGCTCGGTGACACTGAATGTTATGTGTTGTCTATGGTGGTGAAAGTAAATTGTCACTTGCATATTTAATTTCCAATGTAAATGTATAAGTTATATAACAATTTTATATATATATATATATATATATATATATATGTTTTTATGCATCTTCTTTTATTGCATACATCAGATAAAACACAGTTTACGGCTATTTGTCAGTACCAGAGCTGATGTGTATTACAAACTATATAAAAGAATACATTCAATGACTCTATATTCTCTACATTTATAGTGTGCAGATTATGTAGAGTAGCCTTTATGTAATGTGATTTATATGAAAGTAGACAAATTTGAGGAGGTTAATGTTTTTATTCTACAATCTAATTTGTTGTTTGCTTATAAGGATCATAACTAGATATTATATTTTACAACAACATAACATAATAGTACCACTTTTTCCCTTGTAATAAATATAGCAATGATGTGAGAGCAGTACAGTAAGCCCAGTGTTCTCTTCAGAGGGCTACGATTGAAATAGAGACGTCTTACAGTTTTGTCTAAATAAAGCCTTGATGCTGTCATTTCACATGATTATCAATTCTTTCTACTGTCAGGCTTATTAATAGCAGCTCTGAATGAGTTGTGGGACTTTTCTAAACAGGCATGTCATCTGGCATGTTTCATATTTTATCTTTGGAGGTATTTTTATACCTGTTTAAAGGCTTGAATCTGCTTCAACAAGATTAATTCTTTGGCGTGATGTTTGTTTCTGCAGAGCTGCCAGGAGATATTACAACATCCTCTGTGCGGACCACAAAGACATCGGACAGTAAATGGACCCAAACAAAGACATTAATAAAGATGGTTGTAAACTGAAATTGGATGTATGCATTTGTGTATGATTGTTTGTGTGAAATGGGCTACAATATCACAATAATACATTATTAATTTGTTTGTCATGCTAATTAAAGCTACATTAATATGGCAAAATTAATTTGTCACGCAAATACTCATTTTATTGCAGTATCCAAATATTCATAAATGTTTTATGTGCCAGCTTTTATTGCTTTTCATGTGCTCATTTCAACAGGTAAAGAGGATACAAAGGTTTCATGAGTACCACTGTGGTGAGCTGGTAATGTATTGTTCATACTGTATGTGCTCTACATACTGTGTGTGCTGTACATTGTGACACAGCTGTTAAAAAGCTTTGTCTCTCTCTCTCTTATAGCCATTTCAACCAGGCCAGGACATGTCGAGGAATGGTCCGTGAACATGAGACGCGTATGACAGCCTCACTGAAGTGAGCCTCAACTGCCCATAAGCACACATACACACATTTGTGTGGTGTAGCTACATGATATGTTGACCCTGACATACATACAGCTGGACCGACGCACACACACACACACACACACACTTCTGGCATAAGTGATATCTGTTTTTTTTTGTTAATGTGGCTCCAGTGCCGAGATATTAAGATGTTTTTCTAGAGGAATGTCTTTCTTTTGTCTTTGTAATACAAAAAAAAAACTGATGTTAATAAAATATTTATTGAAAATCTCCTCCTTTTATGTTCTTTCAAGAAATGCACCAAGGTTATAGCATATTAAGTATACTAATGATATGATAACTAAGTGTTAGTAACATTTATCCACTATGCTAAGTGATTTATGCTCTTTTGTATACATTATGCTGTGTAATAACTAGCTCCATGCTAACACCTAAGTAAAGATACTTATGAATCATGCTTACACTATACAATACACACTATTTGGATGTATACTCCATGCTAACACTTTAGCTTGCTCTGTGATAAGTGCACAAGCCATTTTAGCCAAGTAGCCATTTTAAGTGATAGTAGGCATCATATTGAAAAAATCCAAAAGGCTACGTGTTAGTATATTACAAGCCTACAATTTAATTTAAACACTAAAATGGCCTCATGCTAAAAATTAGCCTCCAAAGAGTAGTAGACGGTGTCATACTAACTCCAACATATGAATACTAAGCTAGCTGATACTTACATTAACATTATTCTGAGTAATATGTATTATTGTATAACATATTAGCATCCAAGGTGTTGAGGAGTAGAAGCTAACATTTTCTACAACAACATACATCATACTAGGCTAGCTAATATTCACAGTTACACTATTCTGAGTAATGTGGCTCCATGCTAACACTTTAGTGGACATTTAGCTCTTATAATGCTAACATTATAGCATGCATTGTGCGGTGTAAGTCCATTTGCTAACATTTGCTAGTCCATTTGTAAGTCCAAAAATGCCACACTCATGATGCTGCAGACTATCAAACTGTGGCATTCATTCCACAAGTTGTTCGTGGATGAAGTGTCAACTTCTTGTGGTGTCCATTTAACTTAAACCTGCCTCCTCTACCTCAGTGATTCACCACATTTCCAAGAACTACTTTCAACACAGGTCTTGCCAGGACTTGTTATATTCATCTTTGGTTTTACATTGGCCAGAGTGATAATGACTATATCTATATGAAATGCTGATACAGCAAGAGGATTAGTAACTGCAGCAAAGTGAGATTTTACAAATGTGAAAAAACAAGTCATGTCCTTACTTATACAACCCCCCACAGTTGTATTACATTATACAGAATTATGGCTGTAAAACTGTACTGTAAAAGAAGGAACCGATCGTTCGTGCTTTTTCTAAGTGTATTGTGGAACTTCATTATTGTAGAAAGAAGCCCTATAATACAATGAACAGTATCACTGTATGTCTTTGATCAGCTTCTTATATTATTCTATCAGGCTGATAAGCATCAGGTCATCTGCATTTGGCTGTGTGTATATCATGGGGGGAAAGAAAACTACACTACAGACAAGTGGATCCTGTTATACACTTTGTTTCGGTGAGATTTTAATACAAAAATACCATATTTGGAATTTTTTCTGTAGGCTATTGGGCTTCTTGTATAGACAGTTGAATGTTTTAATTAAGCTACAGACAGCAGCATGAGAGCCAGACATTTGCATTTGTAAAAGAAAAAATATGTCTGTTTCATCATGTAATGTAGTAATTTTGTCATTTTAGTCAGATAAGAATTCTTTAATTAATGACTTTTTCCTTTTATAAATTGTAATTACATCTATATGCAATTCAGAGGCCAATGCTTGTGTTCAAATACAATTTTAAATTGCAAATACTGAATGTTATGTGTTGTTCTTAAGTGTTTCATTAAATGATTTGTTTTTTACATAAATAAAGTTTAAGAAAAAGATGCTGCTGCCTTTTTAGTACTGTGTTTTTATTCTGTAATCATAAAAAGATATGTAAACCCTGATCTGTGAACCAATAATAATTCATTCCATATTAACGTGTTAACATGGAGCACCAGAATCCATGAACAAACACAAATGATTTTGGTTTCTATTTGCTGACAATTACCAGGAAAGTTTAGCAATGGCTATATAAAATTGGTGCCTTTATTTAGAAGAATTTAACAAAATAAAGTAGATCATCCTATAATCTGTATCAATAATTTAAGTAACTGATTTAAATGACATTCTGAGACAGAAAAGAGTATAAAAACTGTAATGGGTACCACATAATTGCCCATTTCTTATGTTCTTACTTAAACTCAGTCTGGAATAAACTGACAGCATACACACAGTATATTTTGACAGTTTGTCACTTTCTTTCATCACTTTGATTTCCCAACCCTCTCACCTCAACATGACTTCATTAACAGTTATCTTGTGAGTTGCCTCAGTGTGTGGTCGCCACGGAGCTCTCTGATTATAGAAAACAAACAGCACAGTGGAAACCAATCCTTATTTACAGTTTTTAATAGGTTGCATTGATGCATACTTTTGAAATTAGCTGCAGTCGCACATTTTGCAGACGTCAAACTGTGAGAGTTTTCTATTTGTGTTAAATTTGTGAGTTGCAAGGTAGGTTTCACACCAAAAACTGCTTAAAGAGCAATGATCGACTCATAAACAGCTCCTCGAGCCTATTTCTGATGCTCAGGATTATTTTTAATTTGACCAAGATAATTAGGATCATTGTAACATACAATTTCTGCATGAAAAGCTGTCTGTGTGATCAAATCTGTAAAAAATGTCAACCACGATTGTTGGAACAAAGATGTAGAGGAAGAGGGATACGCCAACAACACGAAGCCGAACCTCTATCTCTATTTGACATGTTTTTTTTTTCACTCATTTGCTGTCTTTCGCTCCCTCTATTCCTCCATCTCTCGCTCACTCTGCCTGTAAATCCATGCTGAGATTTGGCTCACACACACTGGAGCTCTCTGCAGCCGAAAGTAGGCCAAAAGCCATCTGAGGACAGGGCTCAGGGAGAGAAAGAGGGAGAAGAGAGCGAGGCAGGGAGGCAGGGACAGGCGGGTGAGGGAAAATTACTCAAAGTAACTGATAGAGGACACGAACAAGGATATGGTTTCATATCGTTTGCGCCTTTAAATCCTGTTTATCATTTTATTTGTGCCTCTTTTTTTTGCATCTCCTCTCTGAGATTACACAACACATTTAAAGGTGTTTGCCGTGAATAGGCTGCCATCGGAGCATTTTTAGGGCAGATAATGTTATTTTAGGGTTGATACTGGTATTTTTTCATCTTTAATTAAGACTTTTTTACACAGCCACATTTTGACAACAATATGAAAGATATAAACTCACAGACACAACAGTAATCAAATTTTGATGGTTCAGGTCCAGAATATTACCCCTGAAGCTGTTGAACAAAATTGGAAAGATCAAAAATCTGAACAAAAGTAAAATTGTGAAATTGGCTCGACATATAATGTCTGACAAGAGCTTAGGGAGGGAACTCAGCTTAAAAAAAAAAGGTAGAGATGTGCAGGATATTTCTTTATTTAGTGTTAAACCCTTCTGCTTCGGTTGTTGAAATGACAAAATAGACCAAAATGGTTTTAGCTGCCAACAATAGGTGAGCATTAAACTGAAAAATTTCCAAAACAAGCATACAGTCTTTATTGTGGTGGTAAATTTCCAAAACAGTCACATTTAAAGGTAGTTTGTGCTGATTATTTTGAATTAAAAAAAACAACTCTTGCTGTTATCGATTTCAAAAAGCTTTTATTTTGAAGCCTTCTATAACAGAGTGCTAAGTGCAAATGAATAAACTCAGCACTGTGCCATTCAAAGGACGATGCGTCCCAAGGTTTCACATACAAAAATCCTTTATTTCTTCTTAAATGCTTAACATTTGCTGGTCTCACATAGGCTACTCAGGGACACATTCTCAAACTTTTCTTTACATATTTGAACTCGGAAGTATATTGTTATTATTATTCTGTCCTCATGTCCTTGTTGACAGCAGTTGTCTGTCTAACTTTCTTGGGCTTTTCTTACCTCCGAAACATGGCACTTCCAAACATTTAGACATGTCATTTGATTATGGATTGATTATTACATTATAGAGTTTTCCCTTTATTATTATTATTATTATATAATTTATTATGTTTGCCAATATGAAATTTAATAGATAGAATCATATGTTCACATTAAATTGTAAAATGTGAATACTAAAATGCTTTGAATGTTTTAACTGATGACTAAAAGAAAATGAATTAACCTATCCTTCACATACAAAAAAAAGATGTATTTGTTCCTCTACTAAAAATGGCAAACATTTCTTGGTCTCACCATCTCAATGCTGCATTCTCTTTACATATTTTATCTCCTCAACATATTTGTCAGCAAAGTATTTGTGTTCACTGCTCTCAAAGCAGTTCACCCTGCTTAGATAACAGCGTTAACCGAAGGTCCCAGACTCGTCTCCACACTAATCCAGCCGTCTGCTGATCCTTCACTTTTATACATGCAGCACCTAATATATGAATGTTAAAGGGACACATTTAAATGTTGAACTTTGGTTTGGATGAATGGTATGAACTAAAGATCACAACAAAGACTGATGCAGTCTGCATTTTAACAGTTTGAGAGACAAGTTTGAATCAGCAGATTTTCTTAAAATACTCACATCATGATTACTGAGATTTGTTTTCCAGTTTTTTCCCATATTAATTTGAATGTATTACTTATTAAGAAATAGTCTATAGTTTGACTGTTGAATTTTGAATATGGTATCCCAAACTTCTGCTTTAAACTTTGTCTACTTAGGTTTGATTTCCAGCTCATCAAATTATTACTTTTACATTTTTAAATTCTTAATTATGCCCTGATCCTCTATATAATAAATATTACATTTATTGTTTCCTCTAACTCTAACTAATTGTTTGATTTGTAACATCAAACAAACTCGTTTTAATGGTATACATTTCCGATTAAGCTCAAACTTTTTATTTCCTGAGCAAAGACAAAATGGCCAGTTTGTACCAGTTGTTGCATGATCGGTGATTCATGGAAGAATACAACCCTTATAATTATTTGGTCATAATTGTGGTGTACAGCATGTAATCTTTGTTTAAGAGCTCATTTGACTATATTAAATAAGACCGGATGGTACTCACTGTCATTTTAGCACAGCTTAGATACTGTCTTTGCACTGTTATCTTACAGCATGCAAAGTGCCATCTA